AAATCCGCAAATCCGAAACTCATCCCCGACGTACTGCTTGCGTGTGTGTGTGTGCGTGTACGGCGCACTGGTTAGCGCACTGGTTAGCGCACTGATTAGCACACTAGTTAGCGCACTGCGCTACGAACTCGGCGACCAGAATTCGATTCCCGCTCACGGGCCAACGCCGCTGACGATTATCTGAACTGGTCAGGGGCCTCCCCGAGGTCGACTCAGGCTCAAATGAGTACCTGGTGCAGTGTGTAAACATCGCTACTATGGGATACAAAGGCGGCCGGGCATGGTGCTGGTCACTCACCCCCTCGTGTGCCGTGCCGTGCCGTGCCGGCTAGCAGCACTTGCCCCAACAGTCTGTTAAAGGCTATATGGGGGCTCTTTGTCTTCGTGTGTGTATGTGCGTTCAGGACGCATCGTCAACATGTCCAGCATCGCCGCACGGACTTCGAGCTTCAACAATTGTGCCTACGCCATCACCAAGGTGGCTCTGGAAAGCTTCTCGGATGCCCTGCGCCTGGAGATGCACAAGTGGGGCGTGCAGGTACGGGAAAACACAACACCAACACTACCCCCAACACGAACTACTGGTGTCACCACTAACAGCTGCGACAGGCAGGCGATGGCAGATCAGTTCAAATGCAAATCTGAACGAACATAAAACGGCCAAAAACAGTTTCAAAATATCGCATTTTATATTGTCTGCATTTCTCATCTAACCCCATCTTGTCCATTTTTCTTCGACTCATTATATTTCATCCGTTTCACGTGTCAGGGAGGTCGGGTGGTCCCACTAAACTTCACAGTGATCATCAGACAGGCCACATCACCACTGGCTGCATCGTAATCCACAACCCGCAGACTCTGGTGACCCTCCCTCGACCCAACCATAACCCAGAAACCCCTCCCCAGAACATTGGCCAAATGGTGGCAACCACATGCCCACGTTGGCCTAACAACATTGCACGTGCCGCTTCGTGAACATCCCTTCCAACTTCCCACCCACCCTGCAATGCCCGCAGGTGAGCCTCATCGAGCCGGGCAACTACACCCTGCACACCAACCTGGTGGGCGACACGTCCGGCGTAGACCGCTTCTGGAACGCGCTGCCCGAGCCGTTGCAGCGCGACTACGGCCGCGAGTACGTGGCCGCGTTCGCGTCTCAGCTGCGGCTCAACCTCGAGCGCAACAGCAGCACCGACGTGAGCCCAGTCATCGGCTCCCTGCGCCACGCCGTGACGTCCAGGTGGCCGCGACGCCGCTACCTCCCGGCCTCACGCTCAGAGCGCTTTCGCCGTGGCACTCTTTTCCGCGCTGCCGGCGGTTGTTGCCGACCGGCTGTTCACGAGCCCGGCGAGGGCCGGGGGTCCGCAGATAATTATTCCGGACCTGCTCAAGCAAGGTGGAGTGGGGAAGGGGGACTAAAGGGTGCGGCGAGGCTGTCTTGAGAGAAAGAAATGGGACATTGGCCAGAGGAAGGGACCTTGTCGTGAATATTTGAGTCTGGGTCGCGAGCACAACTATAAGTACGCACTCATATTTTATTCAGTAATCACAATGCCGCCTCCATTTAGTATTCAAAGTACATCAAAACAAATAATTGGTGCTTTCCAGCTCGTGCAAGGACGGGCACACATCTTCTCTGTACTCTGCTGCAAGGTCCGTCTGCTGGCTACTCGGGCATTGACAAGAGCGGCATAGCTCAGTGGGAGTTTACACGGGTAATAAACCTTCACAAAATTGCACCAGGTGGACATTCCACATGCCTTATATAATTTTACAGCCATTTATTATTCGAATGTTGAAGGCCTACCCATGCAGAGCCAGTCATAGATGTTGGATCATAATTCAGATTAAATGTGAGATGGAGAGGTGCATAGACATGTATTAAAGTAGTCCAATAAAGGATGTTGCTAGACTCCACTAGAAATATCGAAGCCTCACAGCCTACCAACCTGCCATGCCTGGTGGTCACCCATTACAGCCCTCTCCAGGTTCAATCATATACTCGAGATTCAGAGCTGTGAAAACTCCTGGATGTGAGCTTTACATCTCATAAGATTCCTCCAGGATGACCAAAGATCGATACCAGAGGCCTGAGAAAATGATGTCGGGTACAAGCTCACTTTGTGAAACCTCTTAAGCATTATTGTTTATACCCACAACTCGCATCCTGGAGCACATTTCGTGAATGTTGGTGTACGTCCATCAATTCCACACCCCATCGCCTTCGTTTGACAAATATTTTTTCGTTAACCACGGTTTCTCCAAATGCAGGCCACTTTTTCTATTCGCGTTTTTTCTTGGAAATGGCGCTGTAGTTCCTGCCTATGGGTACACCGCACCAATAAAACATTTGTACATAATGTGTCGTCTGGGTCGATTGCAACACAAGTCCATTTGGCCGCTTACAATAACGCTTCATTCCACATGCTAGAATGTTGCTCTATGTGGGTTTTTCAAGCATTTGCAGAAACTTTTTTTTTAACCACTAACATCCAGCGAAGTTGAATTTCTTTAACGGGTCTCAACTTGCCGATGGAGACTCCAAAAGGTCAACCAGTCCAGAATGGTGTCTTGTTTTCACAAATGTTGCTGCCGATGCAAACACCGGTTCTACATGGCCAACAACGTTGCCGTTTTACAAGTTGATGAAATGGAACCGCTGGTAATTTTGTGTTCGACTCTGCGGTCTAGGGGGTCAATGTGAATGTGACTGCATTGTAACAAAAAAAGTTCAACAATTCCTCGATGAAACGTTCTAGAAAGTTGCGTCGACTTTTAAAAGGCAACCCACAACGTGAACACTGTGCAAGTCGATTGCAGATGCTGCGCGTTGCGACATGCCATGGGGGCTGGTTAATCGTTAACAGCCGGGTGCAAACACGTTACATGAACTTTAGTTCCCGGGTCGCGAGCTTGCATAGCGTGGAAGGCGCAACGTTGTTTTACAGGAGTCGAGGTTGTAAAGTAGATTGCGGCACTTGCGGTTTTTTTAAGGGAACAGCCACGAAGGCACCGTCGCTTCCATTCGTGGGACCATCAGAACACCACTTGTACATCTTCTAGAAACACAAAATCAGCTGTTCAACTTTTGTCACATGCCCCCCTCCCAAATCCAGTATCTACACCGGCGTCTCGCCCCCCCCCTCCATCCGACAAGGTTTCAGCTTTCGGCGACAGCCTGCTGGGTTAAGTAATTGCAGCAATCAAGAGAACCCAGGGTTGACAGGCGGCTTGACTGGATTTGGACCCATGACCTCAGCAGTACCCACCTGGCAGATACCGCCATTAAAATAGGTTCCGTTTGTCCATCTCCTGTGCTCATGCACCACAGAGCACCCTTGTAAAAAACTGCTTTACGGGCCCATCCGTAAAACAAAGTGTAGCACCAGCACAATTGGCGCAGACGTTGGAACGAACTGGAATATGCACGTGTCCCAATAGGTTAATTCGGGTGACCCTGCACACATTTCAACTAGCCAAATTGTTGTCCATTAATAACGTACTTGTCAGCGTGTTTCAGCCGCTACCGTGGGCATTAGTGATAAACACGCGCAGATCAAATTTCGATTTAAAGCTTTCGTGACTGCAGGGATTCATCTTCTTGGTTATTCGGGTAAAGTCACGTAGAATAGAAATAATAAAATAATAAAAATAAAACATAATAAAATAAATTCTCACGACGTTTCGGCCACAACGCAAGCAGCCATCCTCAGGTGGAGAACACGTCCACCTGAGGACCTGAGGACGGGCTGCTTGCGTTGTGGCCGAAACGTCGTGAGAATTTATATTATTATGTTTTATTGTTATTATTTTATTATTTCCATTCTACGTGACTTTACCGAAAGAACCAAGACGCGCAGATCAGCTCTACTAAATACACACCTGCCGTCAAAACAAAGGTTCGACCCTGCCGTAGAGACCTTTCGAGCTGTTATTTGTAGCATACCTTCTTGCACGCGTCCACCACACGACGCCATGAACGACGAATGCGGCATGGAGTGTGGGCTGGTGTGACGTAGACACGTGGCGGGTTGAAACGAGGACCACTGCCAAGGCCACGTGCCAGATGTTCAAACCAAGCAGGGTGGGGGTAGCCTTGACCCCCAAAGGCACCCATCCCGCCGACCTTTGCCACAACCAGCGTTTAGTGCGGCAAACAAGCACCATTGTATCCGTGCAAACAAGCAAATAAACATTTGCCGTGACCACCAGCAACCACCACACAGTGCACCCAATCTCCAGATTGCAGCAGCGCGGCTGGGCTTCCCGCTGGTTGGTAATTTGGGGTGACCATCAGGAGTTGCAGCGCAACGGGGCAAGCAAGGTGGTCAAACGGCAGTACCCGACGGGTCTAGGTAGTGTCCTCTAATTATTAATTACAATTTTTATCCAGGGAAGTCTCACCAAGGTCACATGCAGAATCAGCCAGTAGGTTTAAATGGTTCATTAAAACCATAGCGAGATCAAAGTTGTTTCGGGACACGTGGCGACAACGCTGTTGCGTTGAAGCACACGGCAAGCTCAGGTTGTCAGTCCTCATGGCTTAGAGCAGATAATTTAAATAAATTACCCTCCTTCTATTCATTCATTGAAGAGCCCAGGTTCGTTTAGTCCCCCCCATCCTGAAAAACCCGCTTAGCATCCTATACACACGGATTACAACGTTTGTTCAAATTAGACACCAGAAACACTCGAAGCACATTCATTAAAAAAAGCAGGAAAAAATTGCAGCAGTAATCTTTATTCGGGCGTCATCTTACACTTGCGTCACAAGGGAAAAATAAAACCACTTTAGCAAAACCAAACCAAAAACCCCATCCCACAAAATGTGTTAACTTTTCACACAACTCAATAAATGGCACTGACAGTACAGGAGGCGCCGGGGGGGGGTGGGATTCACGTCAGCACCGACGTTGATGGGAGAAGCACGCGGGGCGACCTCCTTTCGTCGTTGTCGGGGACAAGGAAGCGACACTCCCGTCCGCTCTCCCCCTCCCCCCTCACTTGCCCTTCATGGCCTTGCTTGCAGACTTGGTCACCTTGGCCGATTCGCCCACCTTCTTGGTCACGGCCTTGATGACGCCCACGGCCACCGTCTGCCTCATGTCCCGCACCGCAAAGCGCCCTGGGGGGAGGGAGGGGGGGACAATAGCTTATGAGCTTGCAGATGCACAAGCCACACGCATTTAATTTAGTTGCCCCCTTCACGTCAGCGATTGGTCAGTTTGCGGAGAGTGGGGGACTTGAGATTGGCGAATGCATCACTTCGACCAGGTGATTCTTAACATGGGGTGCGAGATGCATTTTTTCCTGGGGTGCAAGCAGTGCCGGATAAAGCTAGTGCGGGGCCTGTTGGGTGTTATAAAAAGAGGTTCTAAATTAAAAAAAGAAAATCATAAATATTTAAACAAACGTTTTTACTTGCATAGTAAAGTTATTGTATTCTTATTTGCTATATGGCCAGATAAAAAACGACAAATCGCTAACATTAAATACGCAGTCGGTCATTAAAGTTGACGGCGGTATAGTACTATAGTAGAGCAAGTGCAGAATCACCGAACCGGAATTGGTAGCTTGAAAGCATTTAAAGCCTGGCCCGTAGCACGTGTAGCTACTTTTGCTTCCCTGCCACAGTAACTCACCGAGCGGTGGGATACTGCGAGAAGCTCTCCACGCACATCGGCTTGCCGGGCATCATCTCGATCATCGCCGCGTCCCCAGACTTGAGGAACTTGGGAGAGTCCTCGAGCTTCTTGCCCGAGCGACGGTCGATCTTCTCCTTGAGCTCCGAGAACTTGCAGGCGATGTGCGCCGTGTGGCAGTCGACGACGGGCGAATAGCCGGCCTGGATCTGGCCCGGGTGGTTGAGGCACGATGACCTGCGCCGTGAAGCTGTCGCAGCCGCGCGGCGGGTCGGTCTTGCTGTCGCCGGCAACGTTGCCACGTCGGATTTCCTTGACGGAGACGTTTTTCACGTTGAAGCCCACGTTATCCCCGGGGAAGGCCTCGGTCAGGGCCTCGTGGTGCATTTCCACGGACTTGACCTCCGTGGTCAGGGTGGTCGGTGCGAACGTCACCACCATGCCGGGCTTGAGGATGCCGGTCTCCACGCGGCCCACGGGCACCGTGCCGATACCTGGGGCGGAGGGGAACCCAGGAATTGAGAGGAGTTTTAATATTTTTCCAGACGAGAAGTACTCGAGCCTTGCACAACATGGGGTTTTTCGATTTAAAGCTGTCGTGACTGCAGGGATTCATCTTCTTGGTTCTTTCGGTGAAGTCACGTAGAAGGGACACATAATAAAAACACAATTCTTACGACGCTTCGGCCACAACGCAAGCAGCCGTCCTCAGGGTGAAGAACAGGTCTGTCAGAAAGACAGCGTCTGATGTTTGCCGAAAGAACCAAGAAGATGAACATGAGATGTATTTTATTACAAGGGACGATGGCCATGTAAGAAAAACCAAGAGATATTTAAGAGTGAACCGGAGACATTTTAAAATGCATCATGAAGCTGATGGGGAAAAGGTCCAGCACCGATAAACATCACGTGATGTTCATCACAACGTCGGGCAACACAATTTAGTGTAGGATCCCGACTACAGTTAAATAACATCAAGTCAAAATAAAAAAATGCTGAGATCAAGCACTGACTGGGTCAGGCAATCACATGCCAGGAAGAATAGTCCAATGCATCATAGTTGGCATAAAGCTCTTCAGGTCGTGTAAGATAGTGGTCCCGACCACTCGTAAGATGTCAAACTTTAAAGTTACTGCCCAACGTCGGAACGCGTATTTACTGGAATAAGCCTCCCCCCCACCGCAACCCGAACTGCCATCATTTCTAGGACGATGAAAGTTGCTCAAGTAGCGCCAAGCCGCAGCAGGGGCACGACCGTATTCAACGGGAAGTGGTGGGGGGGGCTATGCACGAGACAACGGTGCCCCCCCACTTCCCGTCTCCCAACTCACTTTGCCGACATGTGCGGAGGATGTTTTTAAAACACGCACTCTGTGGTAGGCTACTAGATTTTTTTGGTTGCACCGTAAATTGGATTTTGAGCAGTGGGTTCCTAACCCGACATGTCTCGCACCCTCCGGGGGGTGCGAGACACGCCAGACTTTATAGACGGCAAATCGAAACAAAGCACGGGTACGAAAGTACAACTACTTTAAATGAAGCGTATGTTTCTGATCACATTACATTTTTTTTTTACAATTGAGAAACCAAGGGATTCAAGTCTGTGGAAAATGTTGAGAACCACTGGTTTAGGAGGAAACCAGTCTCGGGTGACAGTAGCAATAATAAATATGGTACAACAACAACACCTCAAGTTATCAGTGCATCTTGCTTTCATGCCGACCCATTGGCCTAGGATTTACCCAAAGGGCGTGGGGGGAAAACACGCAACTTGATGCCGAGCTATTGATACAACAGCCAGATGCGTTAGTCGTGATTGGGCCATGGTAGACAGGCACCTTTTACTGAATACACTTAAAAAATAAATTCTCAAAATGTTTCAATTGTTTATCTGTCGATTTGGGCCCCCCCTCATGCGTCGCATATGCTGCATACCGCAATTACACCCCTGGGCAGCAGCGTCTGAACACTGCAGCGGCGAAGTAATTTGTCTACTGGCAGTCTCTCCAAAAGTCAGCCGTAGACAATTCTACGCCGATGATACCACCAGGTGCCAAAATTGGTCGTAAACATTTTCCGAGTAACTATTAAGAGCGGGAGCAAGTGTTAAAAACAACACCACCCCCCTTCCCCATAGCTTCATTGCCACCGATAAGCACTACAGCTGTTTCACAACTTAAAAAAATGTAAACCAAGCATAAAGGCTTAAAAAAGGCATAATAAAAAGTGGATAGCAGCCAAGAGCAGTAAATACCAGAGGCAAAACGCTACTTGAATTGTGCAACATTAGATAACATTGGGGTAGTGGGCAAATTGGTGCAGTTGTCGCCACGAATATCTGAAAGTTTAATTATAATTAAACAATTTTTGGCCACACAAGACAGTGGCGAGAGCAATGAAGTGGTTTTTGGCAAGCCCATTTAGACCCACACTGACCAGCGTGAAGTTACGGTCACTCAACAACGCCCCCCCCCCCGCCTCTCCCACTAGCACAATGATGAGCAGTGGGTCAAGCATAAAATCAGTAGTCTCATAGAACTTCTTGGACATTTGCCGAGTAAAGGTGCAAAGTTCGTGAAACAAATAATCTTAGTGGTGCCAATTGCCATGACCGCCAAGCAATGGCGGAGCCAGGATTTTCAGGTAGAGGGGGGGGCAACCCCTCCAGCAATGAAAAATGATGGAGTTGTTAGCAAGGAGTTGTCCCTTGCTTTTTATTCGACGCGTGTGCGGTGATGGTGCAGCCATCGATCGAGGGTCGAATTCGAACCACGTTGTGTGATCGGCATCGCGCTCGCTGAAGGTGAATGCCTTCAGGGAAGTCGTGTACTGTATACACAACTGCGCACAATTCTGAGTCACTTATAAACTCCCTTGCCGTTACTTATTGCCAATTATGGACTCAGACTATTGTCCCGTCTCAGTCCCTGGCACATAATAATGCTACAGTGGCAGTGGGGGGGGGGGGTCGCAAAATGCCGATTTATTACTAAGAAACTAATGATCCGATCGAAATTAGGCATTTCGATCAGATCATGGGGGGGGGGGGGGCACTGGCTCCGCCAGTGCTGCCAAGGTTCACCTCTTGCAGTCTCATCACCACAACGCGACTCCCAATCTCCCACACAATGCTCACCACTAATTAGAAAAAACAAGACAAAGATCTCCCATATATGCATATAATCTTCATTTGAAGCTTTCGTGACTGCAGGAATCCAGACTGTTTGGTTATGTTAAGTAGGTAGAAAAAAAAATCACGACGTTTCGATCTCAACAAGCAGTCGTCCTCGGGCAGAAAAACCATCCAGCAGTAGAACTGCTGAACCAGGAAGCAGTTCCACTGATGGATAAAAAAAATTCCACCCGTGGACGACCGCTTGTGTTGCGATCGAAACGTCGTGATTTATTATTTCTGATTTTTATTTTTCTACCTACGTGACTTTACCGAAAGAACCAAACAGCATCTCCCATATAGCCAGAGACTTTTGGGGAAAGTGCCGTTAGCAAACGCCTATGAAGGTCTGCACGGTACACGAGGTGGCGATGGTGGGCAGGGGGGCAGCATCGCATCTCCGCCTGTCTCCCCAGTGCCGACGTTGACACACCAGTTAGAATAATTACTTGAGGTTACAGACAACGAATTCACACTCCCATACGTACAAGCGAGTTCACCACACCTCTCCCAACCCAGCTCGCCCGATCCCCCAAATAAACCCACGCCACCCACCGCCGATCTTGTAGACGTCCTGCAGTGGCAGGCGCAGAGGTTTGTCGGTGGGACGCGACGGGGGCAGGATGGAGTCGAGGGCTTCCAGCAGGGTGGTGCCGGTCGCGTTGCCCTCCTTACGTGTTACCTTCCAGCCCTTGAACCAGGGCATCTGCGCGCAAGCCGGTGATGGGCAGGCACCGGGGGGGAAGAGGGGTGGTGGGGGGGGGGGACACCTTATCCGTCAAATTCATCAAGATCTTTACATTCTGCATTGCTCACCGTGCCACGGTCTGGAGCGTCACGCTCAGGGTCAACCGTGCCACCTTTCGCAATTGCGGCACCTAAACTCTGGAAGTCGTTGTCCTTCCAGGTCAGGCGTTCGAGACTTACAAATCTTTAAACTAAGACTAAAAACGTATCCGTTTAAAAAAATGGCTATTTTTAGGTATCAGTGTCAATTCTTTAATTGGTTGTTCACCATTTTCCACATTGACATGCATAGCACGCTTCGAGAAGGATTGTTGAAGGGCACTTTGTAACGTTAAATTATTATTTTAATTTGAATAGGGTTTACCCCCTTTCTGGAAGTAAAAATAGGTGTTATGATGATGTTCCAAACACCAAATTAGAAACCTTCTGCAAGGAATCAAGTCTGCAAGTCTCATGCCAACATGCTCAAGTCGTCTACATCCTTCCTGTGATCAGTCTTATATACAAGTCAAGCCAATCGGTTCGGTTTTCCTGTTTCTGGTTCCTTCCATTTTGCCCCCTAAAAACACTTCATTTCAATTGCCGTTAAGGCCCCCCCCCCCCCCCCCCATCTCCCATTGGTCCGCCACAGTACCACCACTACCTCCTTCCACAAAACGGCTCCCCACCCATCCCCCCTTCCCCCCACCACACCACGTACGTTCTTGCTCGACTCCAGCATGTTGTCACCGTGCCAGCCGGAGATGGGCACGAAGGCGACCGCCGCCGGGTTGTAGCCGATCTTCTTGATGTACGAGCTCACTTCCTTGACGATCTCAGTCGAAGCGCCCGCTGCTGAACGGCGGCTCCGTCGAGTCCATCTTGTTGACTCCCACGATGAGCTGCTTCACCCCGAGCGTGAAGGCGAGCAGCGCGTGTTCGCGCGTCTGACCGTTCTTGGAGATGCCCGCCTCGAACTCGCCCACGCCGGCAGCCACAACGAGCACCGCGCAGTCCGCCTGCCGCCTCGCGAGGGGGCGCGCACCGCGAGCAATTTTAAGTAAAATATAAAATACGTAGTTTTTTTTTTTATCCTTTATATTAAGTTCGCTTGCTTGCTTAGGACCGTGCAAATCTTTTGGTCGTTTTTTAACCCCCTTCCCGTGATCCAATCGAGCTGATATTTTGCACACAGACTCGTTGTGCGTGACAATGCATTTGTGAAAATTTTTCCAAAATTTTACACTGTTTAGGGAAATTTTTTAAAAATATTTAATTACCAATTGTTTAATGCTGCCAGACAATCATCTGACCCATAGGTGGCAGCCATCTCAAGCCAGAGGACGAGAGGACTCTAGCTGCCCCGATGCCACGCATATAAAGGATTTAGTGATAAACTTTGTTTTTACGGGTTAATTTTTTTTTCTCACTTGGTTTTACTTAAGATTATTTAAGTGCGTTTTTTAATATGCCTTCGATAGCAATTTATTAGATTTGGAACGAATCGGGTGGACTTCACAAATATGGCTGTCGCCTGATGAAGCTTTTTGTAACTACTGGCAAAACGTGGTACTCGTTTAGGTATAGCCCCGTGAGCCATGCGGCTCTCAACTCGTGTGCAACCGCAAAAAACACGAATAAAGAACATCTCAGGTGAAGACGTGGAACTGAAAAATCGAGGAATAAGTATAACCAGTAAAAACAAAGTTTTTCACTATACATCCTTTATATGCGTGGCGGCTAGAGTCCGCTCGTCCTCTGGCTTGAGATGGCTGCCACCTATGGGTCAGATGATTGCATTGCACCATTAAGCAATTGGTAATTAAATATAATATTTTTGTCCTACAAAGTGTAAAATTTTGGAAAAAAAATTTCACGAACATTAATTGTCACGCACAACGAGTCTGTGTGGAAAATGTCAGCTCTATTGGATCACGGGAAGTGGGTTAAAAAACGACCGAAAGATTTGCACGGTCCTAAGCAAGCAAGTGAACTTAATATAAAGGATTTAATAAAATATAGTTTTTTTCTCACTTGGTTTTACTTAAGATTATTTAAGTGCGTTTTTTAATATGCCTTCGATAGCAATTTATTAGGATTTGGAACGAATCAGGTGGAATTCTCCACAAATATGGCTGTCGCCTGATGAAGCGTTTTGCAATTACTGGCGAAACGTCGTACTCCGTTTCATTTAGGTATAGCCCCGTGAGCCATGCGGCTCTTGACTCGGGTGCAACCGCAAAAACACGAATAAAGAACATCTTAGTGACGACGTGCAACAGAAAAATCCAGGAAAAAAGTAAGGTCTTCCAGAAAAAAATAACCGGTATATCAAAGCTGTGCGCAAAAATCCCAGTGGTATGCAAGGCAAACAATAACCATAAGACAATTTAGATTAAAGTTCAGGCCAACTCTGTCCTTAAACAAACATGGCTAAACCACTCCGATTGTAAATGTTGTGGCTTGGCTCTCCAACACACCGGTGTGCTGTACTAGTGACGAATTGGCATGTTCCGTTTACGTGACGACTCTTACGAGTTGCACGTGTCAGCGGCTTTAACGACACATCTATTTATGCGATCCAACCAAAAACCCCTGTATGAACAATTTATTATAATGCACTTCTGTTTTGCATGGAAAATGCTTTAATTGTTGCTCCGACCTAGTCTTTTCACCATGTTTTATTTTATTTGTACAGCACCGAATTGCATTTTTGCACGTCAGTGCTCTAGAATACACTCGATTGATTGAAGACAGATCAGAATTGGACTATTTGTAACCGGGAGGGGCAATCCAATTCGCTATGAAGCTCTTTTCTCAGATGTCCAGTAGGGGCGGGTTGGCACATTACAACTTATAAAACGGCACAACACGATGGGAGTTGCATAGTATTAGGGAAGTTAATCTCCAAATACCAAACTTATTTTTTTTAATCTCACCAGGTAAAAAGCCGACCGAGTTTTTTTAGCTCCACCTTCATGAGCGACCTGGCCGCAAATGTGCGGAAATTTTGAATTTTCCCACCGCCAATCATCCAGCAGTGGATCGACAAGAGGGTTGTACATTCACGGTTCGATTGCGAGTGGCACGGCATGAAGCAAAGTTCTGGTGGAGGAGGTTCTACCCTCTCAGAAATCACACCGGTCTCGAGCCAGTTACTTCAAGCTTCCCAAATAAATTAAACAAAAAGTGGATCCCGTGTAGTGGTAGAAGCATGGCCTATTACGACAGACCACCACTTAATTTTGAGCCATTGGCTTAACAAAAATCCCAAAAATGGTTTAACATTTGGTCTCTAGACTAGCAATATGTACGATAGCCGTCACCGTTGTAGACGTTTAATATAAAAAGATCGACGAAGTGTAACGGTAGTGACATTGCTGGTTAATGTAGTTTTGCGAAAAATTAATGTTTTAGGAAACATCCAAAGAATAGTGGCGATAAATATGAAGTGTACAAAATGGCAAAAAAATTTGCCCCTGGTAAGACTGCCTTTGGTGACACCCTAGGTAGTGCCGACTTGGCTCATGGGCCCTCTAGAAATACATTACTTACACTTACAAACCACCTTTCACTCATAGGTAACAGGGCTGTGTAGCCAATTCGGGCTACGGAATCTTGTACGATTAATAATGAAATTGTAAATAGAAAAACTTGCAAATAAAGAGCTCCTCCCTCCCACCCCCCCAAAGCTAGCTCATTAGAGGTGGTTCGACCATAGTTCGAAGCTTTCGAAATGTGGCTGTATCGAAGGATGCTGAAAATCCCATGGACAGCCAAAACCACCAATACACAAGTTCTGCAAGATATGGGCACTGACAGGCAACTGCTGAAGGCCATCATTAGCAGGAAGTGTTACTACCTAGGCCACATTGCCCGAAACGACCACAAATACCAGCTATTAAAGCAAATCCTGGAAGGAAAAATCGAAGGAAAAAAACGACCAGGACGGCCAAAAACGACATGGCTCAGTAACATCAAAACATGGCTACAATTAACAGCACAAACTCTACACGCCGTGCTAGACCGGGACCAATATCATCGTGAAGTCGCACACGCCGTTAGGCAGCACTAAAGAAGAAGAAGACCATAGTTGACCATGCTGGTCAGCAAGAGTTTCTGAAGGGGGAGGGGTTAGAGAGGTAGCCAGAACCAGTTCACCCATCAACTCGTCACCGACGTGATCCGGGGAAACAACATTAGGTCGTTGGGTTTAAACTGCAGGAGATGAGGCGATGCGTCAAAACCTCAACTTTCGAGTCATTGATTAACAGGCTCGTTTTGGGGGGGGGGGGGGGGGGGGGCATTATGCCAGTTGTATTTTTATGACAGGAGGAAAAGAGATACCCAATAGCCCCAATAGAATTTTACCAGACTGTTGGGGCAAGGTGCTGTTAACGAACACGTACGAAGGCCGGCACAGCACACGCGGGTTGTGGGTGGCCAGCACCACATATGGCCATGAACACCAACCACTTAAGTCCAACAGTCATGCCCTCAATGCGTCCAAGCAAGGGAACTCTGCGTTGGGATGATTTAGCCAAATACCATTAACTGGCATGCGAGAGAAACACCGAGTGTGCCTGGAGAAACCCCAACGTGGACAAGACCAGACTATTTAAAACTCCGCACAGGTAGATTTAATGCGTCGTTGCGATTCCATCCCGTGGCAGCGCACCTGCGAGGTACCGGTGATCATGTTTTTGATGAAGTCGCGGTGACCCGGGGCATCGATGATGGTCACGTAATATTTGGACGTCTCGAACTTCCAGAGGGAGATGTCGATGGTGATGCCTCGTTCGCGCTCCGCCTTCAGCTTGTCCAGCACCCACGCGTACTTGAACGAGCCCTTACCCATCTGCAACATCAGCAGGGCATAGGGGGCCTTGTTTGTTCAGGGCCCCACCCAAATTCCAAGCCTCAAAGCAACCGCTGTGTGTACCATTACAATCGTACACGCCGCACCAGGTAACACAACGTCGTGGTGGTAGCGTGCGATTGTGAAGTGTGGATTGCTCGGTTTAAAAACGTAGGCGGCTTTCGTGATTCTTATTAGCAAGCGGTTTTTTTGGGGTTAGGTCGCGTAAATATAACCACCGCCACCATACACAGCTAATTAATGCTGTTTGTCACAGACAAAACGTGCCAATTATTTATTACAGCACCCCGATTGTGGGCGTTTGCGAGTGAACCCAAAACATTCGCAATATTAGTACGCAGTTTCCGCCGGCGATCATAACCAACTTCAAATTGTGGATTTCTTGCCGACAAAAGGAAGTCATCACGGGACAGAACCGGTCACACGTGCGGACCGACAGATGCACCACCCGTGCTCCCCACTGCCACAGTGCCCCGTGTTTAAGTCGCACCGCGCTCCATTCATTGTTGCGAGCGTTCCTCTTCCGCAATCGCGCCACTGGAGATATGCACTTTTTAAAAAAGTTATACCCGTCTTCTTGGTTCTTTCGGTAAAGTCACGTAGAAGGGAAATAATAAAAGAATAAAAATAAAACATAATACAATATACGAGTATATTATTTCATTATTTTATATTATTATAATAATAATAAAAATAAAACACAACAAAATACACATTTATATTATCGCATTATTTTATATATATTTTTTAATGTTTTATTTTTATTATTTTATTATTTCCCTTCTACGTGGCTTTACCGAAAGAACCAAGAAGATGAATCCCTGCAGTCACGAAAGCTTTAAATCGAAGTTATACCTGCTTTGCGTTAAGTTTTTTGTCCTTCCCCCCGCACCTTCGATTAGCGCGGTTGGCTCCGTACGGTGCGCGCATTAACACGTTCACCGTACATACACAGCCACCCCGACTTAAAGCAGAGGACGAACCAACACAAATGCGTGGCGTGGCTCCGTAGCTCACCTCCGCAGCCTCCTTTTCAAACTTCTCGATGGTCCTCTTGTCAATGCCTCCGCATTTGTAGATCAGGTGGCCGGTGCTCGTGGACTTGCCCGAGTCCACGTGGCCGATCACCACGATGTTGATGTGAATCTTTTCCTTCCCCATCGCTCGGTCAGGTCACTCGAAAGTTTCACAGAAAGGGGTTTACTTGCTGCTCTCGGCGGGTGTAGTAGCTACGACTCGCTATGGATGGAGGGCTCTTTTCAGAGTCCTTTGGCGAAACATTTGGAATGACAACAAAATTCGTGATTAAGACTGTGGCCGTATTTGTTTCATATACATATGATGGTTGACGTTTCAGGCAATAGATCATTCTTCAGAGAACATGAAGGGCCAGTGCCAGAAACGTCGCCTGTTACACATTTTTTTTCCTTTAAAGGCTGTATTGTTATTAAAGTGATTGCATTACGTGTGTGCGCACATCCAATAAGTCAATTTAGAGCAGCACGAAAGGAATGCAACACGGTGGCAGACTGGGACAGCCCATTGAGACATCTAACAGTGGCTCGACCATGGCTAACGAGTCTGCTACTCTGTTGCCTTATTAAAATTTCCGGGAAAAGTTAATAATCTATAAAACAGTGATCGAAGATGGATAATAGTAATCTTAAACCAGTATGGGAGGTGCAGGTCCTTCTGGGTCAAGAAAATCCGCCACACGGGAAAGCCCCAACACAATCGACCAAGTCAGAAATCTACGAGCAGGACAAATTAACTCATCTCACACGAATAACAACGAGTACATCCTCGTTACATTGCTGCGTCCAAAGGTAGGGTGGGGTGGCTTAATTTATCACCCGGATGTTTTTCGGAACGCTGCTATCGGCTTGCTTAATTTTTTTTTTATCAGCGCACACGTTAAATAACGCTACGGTACATTAAAATTGTACCACATCTTCCCTAGAAGCCTACGGAGGAGGTGTGTAAAGGTGAAGATAAGGGACCATCGTTGTCGGCTTCTGGGATGGATGTGGCCTTGCCAATGCAGAGTTCCAGGCGATTTCGGATGAAATCCCAGTGCCCGTTTTAAATCGATTACAAAATAGACAAGTAAAAAATAATCATACCGTCTCCAGGTGGGACTTGATGCACGAATGGAAAATAATCAAACTCGTGCGTCTGCGGTCACCCAGAATTGACCGTGGTAACACAACTCCGATACTACCGGCGTCGTACGAAGGAGGAGGCATCGTGACGCTGCTACTACTACCGCAATCGTCTGGCTCAAACACCTCTAAAACGAAAGACCATGGGTTGTTTATCTCCATCAGCCATGCAACAATGAAAAGCGAGTGGGACCGGTTGTTTAATTGTGCCAAATATGTAAATGTCTTGAAATGGCTTGTCTTGAAATTAGTTGCCGTAGAAATGTCCACGATTATGATTTAAGGTGTAGCTCGGAAGACCTTACTATTGCACTCAGAACAACACAAGCGGCGTAAACCTCACACCCCCTCCAAAAAAAGCCCACTCACCTTTCAGCGCAGAGAGGTTTCCGGCACAAACCTCACTCTGCCGCGGTCCCTGGACTCTTAAATAGAAATCCTCACCTGTTAACAATCACGGGCAGCGCCCGCCTAACGAGTTAATGAGCGACGTCACGAGACCACATTGCTGGTAACTTTTACTTAATTGTGAAGGCACGTGTGCGTTTGTGGGGAGCATTGGCGCAGTGGATACGCTCACGGCCAACGCCGGTGACGATTATCTGAACCGGTCTTGGGCCTCCACTAGGTCGACTTAGCCTCAAATAAGTACCTGGTGCGTTGTGTAAACGTCGCCACTCGGGCTCGTAATGCTCCCCCCGGTTCTAAATATATGTTCGCTCACAGCACTTGCCCCAACAGTATGTTAGGGCTATACGGGTGGGGGATATTTGTCTTTGTGTGCTACTAATGATATACAGTATCATGATCCAGCACCCTCCGATCGGCGCGGTTGGCTACGTACGGTGCGAAAGAAGTTCAACAACGTGCCTCCATAACGATGAATGACAAGTAGAGTTAAGCAATTGGCGCTTTCTGCAGACGCATTGTGCGTGTTGGGCATTCGCCACCCCACGGCGATTGGATGGATTGATTGGGTACGATTGTGGAGGAGGAGGGGGGGGGTGGTCATTTCACCTGTCTCGATTTCATTGTCTAGCTTCATTGTCTAGCGTCATTGCTTGTCGCTTTGTTGGGCTGATTGTCAACTCGTCCACGCGCCTACGCGCCGCACACGCGGGGCTCGTCGACTCGGCTCGTTCGGTGCGTTCGCGACTCGGTCCGCTTTGTCCTGGTGAGGGTCGCGGCGGCAGCGAGTTGAGTCGCGGCGGTCCCACACCTCCATTTACCTGGCTACAGACTCCAGCACTACTACACTATACACTATACTATACACTACACTATACACTACACTATACACTACTATACACTACTATACACTACACTATACACTACTATACTATACACTACTACACTATACACTACGCTATACTACTACACTTTACACTACTATACTATACACTACTACACTATACTACTACACTATACACTACTACACTATACACTACTACACTATACACTACACTATACACTACTATACACTACTACACATTACTACAGTGAGGGAAAAAAGCATTTAATCCCCTGCTGATTTTGTACGTTTGCCCACTGACAAAGAAATGATCAGTCTATAATTTTAATGGTAGGTTTATTTGAACAGTGAGAGACAGAATAACAACAACAAAATCCAGAAAAACGCATGTCAAAAATGTTATAAATTTGTTTGCATTTTAATGAGGGAAAAAAGTAGATTTAGAATAGAGATTTATAATCGAGAGATTGAGAATAGAGATTTAGAATCGAGAGATTTAGAATCAAGAGATTTAGAATCAAGAGATTTAGAATCAAGAGATTTAGAATCACGAGATTTAGAATCACGAGATTTAGAATCACGAGATTTAGAATCACGAGATTTAGAATCGAGAGATTTAGAATCAAGAGATTTAGAATCAAGAGATTTAGACTCAAACCGAGAACGTCCTGTCGCTAAGTGGAGAGTGTGCATGGCTCTATGAGTGACGAGGTCACAGGCCCCAACCCACCAATCATTATTTGTATATCGTTTGTGAAAGTGAAATAAAGTCACACGCAATACAAGGACGCTGTAACATTTGTTTAATTAGACATATAAACATAATTTTGGAACAATCTGATGATTTTATTGACTCGAGCAATGAGTCTTTATTTTATTCCAGAAGGACAGGTCATGGAGTGGAGCAGCTTAACTTTCTCTGACGCAGCCAACCGCTTCAGATGCGCTTCTGCGGCCGTCTGGAACGCTCTTCCCTACGACACTAGGAAGCCAGTGGAGCTATGCACTTTCACATCTAGATTGAAAACTCATTTCTTGAAAACTTATTTTCGTGTTTTAGTTTGTTGTCCTTCCCCCGCACCTCCAATGAGCGCGGTTGGCTGCGTACGGTGCGAAAGAAGTTCAACACGCACGCATACGATCCCAAAACTATTGACTTATTGCACAAACATTTTTGTAACCGTTGTGACGACGTCACCCCGCGTGTTTACTCGACCACGTGTGCGCGGTAGCTCACGGAGTGGACCGGTGAGAGACGACCCTAGCGTCTGAAAGTAGCACGTTCGAATCCTCGCCAAGGGCGAGTGAACTAATACGGAAAAGCAAACTGAACACGTGGCAACTGTGGGACACAAGACGAAAGGGCCGAGCAGAGGTGTTACAACATGTAGGTGAAGATACAGGGCCCATGAATTAAGGTCACGATTCGATTCAAGAACAAGACATTTTTAAAATCCTTTATATTAAGTTCACTTGCTTGCTTGCTTGCGCGCTTACGACCGTGCAAATCTTTCGGTCGTTTTTAAATCCTTTATATTAAGTTCACTTGCTTGCTTGCTTGCGCGCTTACGACCGTGCAAATCTTTCGGTCGTTTTTAACCCACTTCCCGTGATCCAATCCAGCTGACATTTTGCACACAGACTCGTTGTGCGTAACAATTTATTTTCGTGAATTTTTTTTCTCCAAAATTTGACACTTTTTAGGGAATTTTTTTTTCATATAATTTAAAAATACCAATGTGATAAAAATGAAACTCTTACTCAAGAAAAACAGAAATGAATAATAAAATAAAACCGATGTCACGCATATAAAGGATTTATAGTGAAACACTTTGTTTTTACGGGTTAATTTTTTTCCATTGTGAATGTGAGCTCCTCTATTGGCTGAAGGGCTCATGTTAACCTGCATCACACGTCTAAATATTTATTTGTTAACACGCGCGATTCACTACGTACACACATATTGTGAACATGCGTGAATCGATGCACGATTACCATCGGCTGATAATTACACACATGGAACAGATGTCTCTGCCAATTAAACGAGTTACTTGACCACACAACTTAACTTCTCATGGGATAGCCTTTTGGCGTCATCTGGTCCAACACCAATGGAGATTAGGCTCTAAGAAAAGCTGTCTCGGGTGTGGACCAATCAACTTCAAGGACAGTGCATATCATTATTATCATCAGAGTTGTTTCTTTTTGTTTGCGTTTTGACTGCTTGTGTTGTGGTTATTGCAAACATGATGCCTTGTATAAAGGTGTCAGTTTTTTGTACCAGTTGAAAGGGTAAAAACCTACCACTATATTTTGCCACTGGTAAAGGAGATGTCTCATAGTGTTCGCATGGGATGTTTTATGGTGCATCACAAGCCCCTGCCACCTTACCTGCTTTCGGAATGTGGAGGGGGCATGGCGGAATATTTTCCGGAGCTCAGCCAGCCTCTTGACAGATTCGACTCAAACTGACCCTGCCCAGTACGCGTTCCAATCATTGTGCTTGGAACCGTTCGAACAATGCTGGCCATCATCGTTCCATGTGTACACTGGGTGGTCGTGGAGTTTAGCACTCTCCTTCTGGCATAGAAGGCTTTCGAAAGTGGACAACCAAAGTGAGCGGGCAGATTTGCCGACCCCGTATTGTGACCACCCCCCAAGGCGGCGTCCTTCTTCGATGGCCGGCGGTGACCTCCTCTGTTGCGTTCCCTGGACGCGGCTCCTCCGCACAACGGGAAACAGCGCCTTCTGTTGTGCTGCTCCCACTGGCTGTGGACCAAGCTCCCTACCCGGTATTGTGCTGCTCCCACTGGCTGTTGAGTGAGCTCCCTCCCAGTGTTGTGCTGCTCCCATTGGCTGTGGACCGAGCTCCCTACCCGGTGTTGTGCTGCTCCCACTGTCTGCTGAGTGAGCTCCCTCCCGGTGTTGTGCTGCTCCCACTGTCTGTTGAGTGAGCTACCTCCCGGTGTTGTGCTGCTCCCACTGTCTGCTGAGTGAGCTCCCTCCCGGTATTGTGCTGCTCCCACTGTCTGCTGAGTGAGCTCCCTCCCGGTGTTGTGCTGCTCCCATTGTCTGCTGAGTGAGCTCCCTCCCGGTGTTGTGCTGCTCCCACTGTCTGCTGAGTGAGCTCCCTCCCGGTATTGTGCTGCTCCCACTGTCTGCTGAGTGAGCTCCCTCCCGGTGTTGTGCTGCTCCCACTGTCTGCGGAGTGAGCTCCCTACCCGGTGTTGTGCTGCTCCCACTGTCTGCGGAGTGAGCTCCCTACCCGGTGTTGTGCTGCTCCCACTGTCTGCTGAGTGACCTCCCTACCCGGTGTTGTGCTGCTCCCACTGTCTGCTGAGTGAGCTCCCTCCCGGTGTTGTGCTGCTCCCACTGTCTGCTGAGTGAGCTCCCTACCCGGTGTTGTGCTGCTCCCACTGTCTGCTGAGTGAGCTCCCTCCCGGTATTGTGCTGCTCCCACTGTCTGCTGAGTGAGCTCCCTCCCGGTGTTGTGCTGCTCCCATTGTCTGCTGAGTGAGCTCCCTCCCGGTGTTGTGCTGCTCCCACTGTCTGCTGAGTGAGCTCCCTCCCGGTGTTGTGCTGCTCCCACTGTCTGCTGAGTGAGCTCCCTCCCGGTGTTGTGCTGCTCCCACTGGCTGCTGAGTGAACTCACTACCCGGTGTTGTGCTGCTCCCACTGGCTGCTGAGTGAGCCCCCTACCCGGTGTTGTGCTGCTCCCACTGTCTGCTGAGTGAGCTCCCTACCCGGTGTTGTGCTGCTCCCACTGTCTGCTGAGTGAGCTCCCTCCCGGTGTTGTGCTGCTCCCACTGTCTGTTGAGTGAGCTACCTCCCGGTGTTGTGCTGCTCCCATTGTCTGCTGAGTGAGCTCCCTCCCGGTGTTGTGCTGCTCCCACTGTCTGCTGAGTGAGCTCCCTACCCGGTGTTGTGCTGCTCCCACTGTCTGTTGAGTGAGCTCCCTCCCGGTGTTGTGCTGCTCCCATTGTCTGCTGAGTGAGCTCCCTCCCGGTGTTGTGCTGCTCGCACTGTCTGCGGAGTGATCTCCCTACCCGGTGTTGTGCTGCTCCCACTGGCTGTAGACCGAGCTCCCTACCCGGTGTTGTGCTGCTCCCACTGTCTGTTGAGTGAGCTCCCTCCCGGTGTTGTGCTGCTCCCACTGGCTGTAGACCGAGCTCCCTACCCGGTGTTGTGCTGCTCCCACTGTCTGTAGAGTGAGCTCCCTACCCGGTGTTGTGCTGCTCCCACTGGCTGCTGAGTGAGCTCCCTCCCGGTGTTGTGCTGCTCCCACTGGCTGCTGAGTGAACTCCCTACCCGGTGTTGTGCTGCTCCCACTGTCTGCTGAGTGAGCTCCCTCCCGGTGTTGTGCTGCTCCCACTGTCTGCTGAGTGAGCTCCCTACCCGGTGTTGTGCTGCTCCCACTGGCTGCTGAGTGAGCTCCCTCCCGGTGTTGTGCTGCTCCCACTGTCTGCTGAGTAAGCTCCCTACCCGGTGTTGTGCTGCTCCCACTGGCTGTGGACCGAGCTCCTAACCCAGTGTTGGTCGTGGTTCGGAGACAGCTGCGGTGCAGTTTAAACTCCAACCAAACACGTGTTTAATGTCTCTCGCCTCGATTATCTTGTAGAGAGGTGCTTTAATAATGTAATATATTATCGTGCTTATCATCGTTGTCCATACAACGCAGTATGGCTGAAGGCTACGCAATGTGATGGCATGAAATTAGACGCGGCAGTTGGGTGTATTTCACATTTCATCGCTTTATTAAGAGCACTCCATGAACTTGCAACACAACGGCTTCATTAACCTTCTTGTTTTCACACAACAACACCATGGGCATGTACAAATTATTATTTTTTGACTCAACACCGCAGAATAATAAATAGGCTTTGTTCCATTTTGTGACCTCGACCGAGGCCAGTGCATAAATTATTAACATTTTAAGAATAGTTTTGTTTTCTTTCCCTTTAATTTCCTTCAGTGTTCAAAGGCATACACACACGTATATATATAAAAGTTCACCCTGTAGCCTATAACATGCTGTTGGGGTAAAAATGCTGTTAGCGAGCACCTATGAAGGCTGGCACGGCACACGAGGGAATGGGGTGGACAGCACCATTTCCTGCCACCTTTGTCTCTCTGCCCAGTCGCGACATAGGGTCGGCCCGGGACTGGTTTTTCCACCGTGGTTGGGTTTGTAGCGCAGCGCGCTAACCACTTGGCCACCGCTCTCTCCGGCCTACGTGTTAAACCATTATGTATGTTGAACTTCTTTCACACCGAACGTAGCCAACGATGCTCATCGGAGGTGCGGGGTGAAGGACAACAAACTAAACACAACAGGCAGTTCTAAAGAAATGAGTTTTCAATCTGAATGATTTAAAAGTGCATAGCTCCAGTGGCTTCTTAATATCGGAGGGATGAGTGTTCCAGACGGCCGTGGATAACCATCTGAAAGCGTGCGATGCAAGTGACCGTCTTTGTTCGATGGCGAGCCAAAAGCCGCTGGCTGTGAGGATGAAAAATCCAGAAATGCGTCGTTTAATGAATCCTCGTTCCGTGTAACCCCCATTCCAGGCCCTCCCCCCTCCCGTCTCCCGTCCCGTCTCCAGCCGCAGGTGCCGGCGAGCCGGGCTTGGCAGCGGGCCCCGTCAGATGACCTGCCAGATGGCCACCTTCCCGTCCTCCTTGCCCGAGCCGCTGAGCACGTAGCGGTCTTCCACGGAGCAGAGGCAGCGCACGGGCGCCAGCGAGTGTGCCAGCAGCTCGCGCTCCACGCTGGCCCGCTGCGTGTCCACCACGTACAGCTTGCCCACGCTGCTCCGGCCGTGCGCCTCGCCAACGCCGCCCACCCACACCTGACCAGGCGGAGGGGGTGGGTGCACGCGTGCGGTGTGCGTGTGTGTGGGTGGGTGTGTGGGGATTGGGTGGGTGTGGGTGGGTGTGGGTGGGTGTGGGTGGGTGTGCGTGTGTGGGTGTACATGTGTGGGTGGGTGTGCGTGGGTGGGTGTGCGTGTGGGTGGGTGTTGGTGGGTGTGGGTGGGTGTGCATGTGTGGGTGTGCGTGTGTGGGTAGGTGTGAGTGTGTGGGTGTGTGGGTGGGTGTAGAGCGGTGAATTCCTGCTCACGGCCAACACCAGTGACGATTATGTCTGAACCGGTCCTGGGTCTTCCCTAGGTCGACTTAACCTCAAACGAATGTGTAAATATTTGCACGAGGAAGACAAAGGTGGCTGGGTGTGGTGTCGACCACCCACTCCCTCGTGCAAGCCTTCACAGGTGATCGCTAACAGCACTTGCTTCAGCAGTCTTTAAGACATGGGATGTGCATGTGTACACGTGTGTACACAACAACAAACGCCATTCGCCACGAGGTGGCGGTGACGTCACCACGGCGCCTGTGCCAGGCCATATGCACTTTAAGGCCACGTGAAGTGTTGAACGCCCGCTGGCAGGAGGTCACAGGGCAGACCCAGGTGCCATGGGTTGACTGACTGAGATGACTGGCTGATGCAACACCTGTGCCCCCTACTGTGCCAACTTGCTGTGCTTTAGCCACCCGGCAATCTGCTCATTGTTGTGAGCGCCGCTCCTCTACCCTCCGTTGTCACTGGAGGGCGACTGCCTCCAACTGCCCAGTAGTAGCGTCCTTCACGAGTCTCCTCCACAGAGGCCGATCTTGACACCGCTGGTACCAGTCATCGGCAAGTCCACTCAGCTCCACGTTATCTTGTATCACATCACTCCATCTCTTTTCTAGCCTGGGCAACGCACATTTAGCACCCTCTCTCTGGCCGAACAAAAGCTGTTTAGGCATGCGGTGGCTGGGCTTGCGGGCCACGTGACCCAGCCAATGCATTATTGCCTGCCGGAGGAGCTCATCAACGGGACTTTGTCCAGATCTGTCGAGGATTTGTGAGTTCCTCACTCAATCAAGCCTGGTTAAACCCATTACGGATCGTAGGCAGGCCAGCCTAAATGTTTTCTAACCGGCGAAGATGTTCCATTACGGGGGGGGGGAAGGTGGGTCCACGTTTCGCAAGCATAAAGAATGGAGGGCATGACACACGCACACACAAAGACAAAGATCCCCGTATAGCCTTAACAGACTGTAGGGGCAACTGTTGTTAGCGAGCACCTATGAAGGTCGGAACGGTACACGAACGAGCGGGTGGGTGGCCAGCACCACGCCCGACCGCCTTTGTCTCCCCAGTGGCGATGTTTACACACCGCACCAGGTACTCATTTAAGGCTTGACTTAAACACACACGCACATGCGCGCGCACCTGCTCCTTGATGCGCAGCATGCAGGAGACGGCCGTGCACCCTGCGAGCGCCAGCGCGTCGCTCTCCCCGGCGCCGCCGGCCGTGCTCCACACGAGCAGCTCCCCGCGGCGGCTCGACGCCGTCCACAGCTGCTGCCTCTGCGTCCACACCGGCACCGTCGACAGTGACGCCACCGTGAGCGCCATCCCTGGCACCTTCATCATCGCCAACGCCACGGCTATCGCCATCGCTGCTGCCTTCACCGTCGCTACCACCAACACTGACGTCTTCACCATTGCTAACACCATCACTGACACCTTCACCATCGCTAACACCATCACTGACGCCAACGCCATCGCCAATGCCATCACTAACACCATCGCTAACACCATCGCTAACACCATCACTGACGCCACCACCATCGCCAATGCCATCGCTAACACCATCGCTAACACCATCACTAACGCCATCGCCAATGCCATCGCTAACACCATCGCTAACACCATCGCTAACACCATCGCTAACACCATCACTGACGCCACCACCATCGCTAACACCATCGCTAACACCATCGCTAACGCCATCGCTAACACCATCGCTAACACCATCGCTAACACCATCGCTAACACCATCGCTAACACCATCGCTAACACCATCGCTAACACCATCGCTAACACCATCGCGAACACCATCGCTAACACCATCGCTAACACCATCGCTAACACCATCGCTAACACCATCGCGAACACCATCGCTAACACCATCGCTAACACCATCGCTAACACCATCGCTAACACCATCGCTAACACCATCGCGAACACCATCGCTAACACCATCGCTAACACCATCACTAACGCCATCGCCAATGCCATCGCTAACACCATCACTAACGCCATCGCTAACGCCATCGCTAACACCATCGCTAACACCATCGCTAACACCATCGCTAACACCATCGCGAACGCCATGAACCTCTCCATCAGTATCATCATCCCCATCGCAGACATCGTCGCAAGCACCATCATAATTCGCCACGATCATCATCATCATCACCAGCACCATCTCATCACCAATCACCACAGCCCACACTCCCCTCCACCACCACCACCTCGATCTCTCCACCAACATCTCTGCCCCCCCCCCCCCCCCGTGGTTTTGCTGTACCTCGGGGAAGACTGTGAAGCAGCTGAACGACTGCAATGGTCCCTCGGCGGTGACGCTGAACAGCCGATGCCCGTCCAGCCTCGTCTGGAGCACACTGTGACCCAGGCCTGCAACCCCCAACACGAAGACAAAGACCCCCCTACGGAAACTGGCACGTGTAGCTTGCGAGCACGCCCGACTGCGTTCGTCTCCCTTCGTGGCGATGTTTACACACCGCACAGCAGGTGCTCATTTGAGCCCGAGTCGACCTAGTGGAGGCCCAGGACCGGTTTAGAAAATCGTCACCGACTTTGGCCGTGAGCGGGAATCGAACCCGGGTCGCCGGGTTCGCAGCGCAGCGCGCTCGCCGCTGCACTACCTCTCCCCAGGTGCGTACGCATATCCGCTACAAACCACGCTGAATTGTGGGGGGGGAGGTGCGTCATGGGGGATGACTGTGCTGATGGGGGGGGCGGTGGGCAGGAGGAGGCACTCACAGCACCAGAGGGAGCCTTCGATGAGCTGGATGGACAGCAGACTCTTGCAGTCGGGGATCTTGAACTGGCTGTGAACCTGCAGCGTCGCCACGTCCCACACCACCACCTGGCCGTTGAGGCTGCTCGAGATCACCTGCCTGGAGGGGTGGACATGGATGGCAGCGAGACGAAAGCGAGCGGGAGAGCGAGCGGGCGAGCGCGTGGGTGGACGTGCCGACGAACGGGCGAGTGAGTTGGATAGTGAGCTGGTTTGCGAGTGAGTGGGTTGGTGGGTGAGTGAGTGGGATAGTGAGCGGGCAGAGTTATTGAGCGGGCGATCGGGCAGGTTGGTGAGCGAGTGGGATAGTGAGCAGGTAGATGGATAAGTGAACGGGTGGGTGTGTAAGTGAACGGATGGGTGTGTAAGTGAACGGGTGGGTGTGTAAGTGAACGGGTGGGTGTGTAAGTGAACGGGTGGGTGTGTAAGTGAACGAGTGGGTGTGTAAGTGAACGGATGGGTGGGTAAGGGAACGGGTGGGTGTGTAAGTGAACGGGTGGGTGGGTAAGTGAATGGGTGGGTGTGTAAGTGAACGGGTGGGTGGGTAAGTGAACGGGTGGGTGTGTAAGTGAACGGGTGGGTGTGTAAGTGATCGGGTGGGTAGGTAAGTGAACGGGTGGGTGGGTAAGTGAATGGGTGGGTGTGTAAGTGAACGGGTGGGTGTGTAAGTGAACGGGTGGGTGTGTGAGTGAACGGGTGGGTGTGTGAGTGAACGGGTGGGTGTGTGAGTGAACGGGTGGGTGTGTAAGTGAACGGGTGGGTGTGTGAGTGGGACAGCGAGCGGGTAGTTTTAATGGGCGAGTGGGTGGTTTGGTGCGATGATGAGCAGGCCGGTAAGTGCGTGGGTGAGCAAGTGGGATCAAGCGATCGGCTGAGCGAATAACTGGATGAGTGAGTAGGTGAGTGAGTGAGTGTGGGTTTGGGGATGAGGAAGTGGGCCGGTTATCAAATGCGCAAGCAGGAGGACACACGCATTGAACAGGTGACCGAGCGGCTGGGGAAACGTGTGATTGACGGAGCGTGTGGGCGGGCGGGCGGGCGGGCAGGGGAAAGGGCAGGGGAAAGGGCAGGGGAGGGGGGGAACGGGCGAGCGGGAGAGTTCGTACGAGAGCCGGCGGTCGGGCCGCGACAGGGCCATGTCAGTGATCTGGTCGCGGTGCTCGCTCAGCTGCTTGTTGCAGGATAGGCTCTGCATGTCCAGGATGTAGATGGTGCTGTCCACCGAGCCCACCCACACCTGCTTGCGCTCCACGTCCAGCATGCAGCTCTACGCGCAGCACACAGACGGGGATCACCGACCCACCCACCCGCTCCCTGCGCAGTCGACGCACACAGACGGGGATCACCCACCCACCCACCCCCTCTCCCCGCGCAGTCGACGCACACACGCCGCCTCGCACTGCTCAGCGGATTCGGGCCGTCACGAGCCCCCTCCGCACGCTCGCCGAACTTGATGCGCAACGCAGTGTGCAATGGAATGGTTAGCTTGCGCAGCGTCGTCAGTGCAAATTGCACCTCGCAGATGCTGTGTGCGCGCGCGTATGTGCGTGCGTCAGCGCGCGTATGTGCACGAGTGCGTGCTTGTGTTTGCGTGCTTGTGCGTCGGGAGCAGCAGTGCAGCGGTGAGTGTGCTGCGTTACAAACCTACGAACCCGGCAACCCGGGTTCCATTCCCGCTAACGCCCAACACCAGTGACGATTATCTGAACCGATCATGGGCCTCCCCTAGGTCGACTCAGCCTCAAATGAGTACCTGGTGCAGTGTGTAAACATGGCCACTGGGGAGACAAAGGCGGCCGAGCATGGTGCTGGCCACCCACCCCCTCGTGTGCCATGCCGGCCTTCATAGGTGCTCGCTAACAGCACTTGCCCCTACAGTCTGTTACAGGCTATACGGGGGATCTTTGTCTTTGTTTTTTTTGTGCGCGTCGATCTCACCACACGCGCGCGCCCGGCCTGGATGCAGTGCTGCTCGATGACCCAGGAGGTAGCGTTGAAGGCGGTGATGCGGCCAGAGCCGACGGCGCACCACAGCGTCCCGTGCGCCTGGTCGTCCCGGTCGTCCCCCGGGAACTGAACCCCTACGGGGGGAGGTGGGGGGCAGCAGAGGGGGCCGGGCGGGCGGGGGGAGACGGAGGAGAGGGAGGGAGGAGGAGGGAGAAATGAGAGTCCCGGGGGTGGCTCGGTGGGGAGAGACGAGAGTGAGCGATGTTGGGGAGAGATGAAAGAGTTAATGAATGAATGAGTGAATGACTGAACGAATAAGATAATTAATGAGTCATTGAACGTGTCAGTGAATCAGTGACTGCACGAATGACTGAGTGAATGAATGGGCGAATGAATCAAAGGGTGCATGAGTGCGTGAGTGAGCGAATTGGTGTGTGACTGAATGAATGAATGGGAGAATGAGTGAGTGAGTGAGCGAATGAATGGATACCGGGCGTGTAGAGCAGCGCATCCACAGCCTCTGGCGCTGGGAGTCCGGCCGAAGGGTTGATCTTGTGTCTCAGCGTCTCTGACGTCATGATGGGGATCGTCTGAGACACTGGGGACACGGTCAGAGCGCGGATCAACCACGGGCCTCCACAAAGTGGTACTCGCTTTACCCACCCCAGAGAGATGATGATGATGATGGCAATGAAGATGGCTACGAACTGAAACTCGTGACTTCCTAAATAGGATGCTCTTCTGCCCAATCAACTGGAATAGGGAGCTTGTCATCTCTAACGCCAAATGAAAGATCTTGGCCATGAATATATACGTAACCAACCGTGCTAATCGGAGGTACGGGAGAAGGACAACAAACCAAACACAAGAAGCAGTTCTAAAAAAATTAGTTTTGCATAGCTCCAGTGGCTCCCTAGTATCAGAAGGAAGTGCGTTCCAGACGGCTGCAGAAGCGCATCTGAAAGCGAGCGATGTAGCGGTGACGTCACTGCACCGATGCAATACAAAGGTGCTCGGACAAACACGTCAATTGACCGCTGGATAGGATCCCAAGGTAGAGACCATTATGAGCGGCGTAGCGTTGTGGGGGGCATGGTTGAAGGGGGCTTAGCCCCCTCGGCCGCTGAAGCAGCCGCCCCTTCTAAGGTCACCATCGTCGAGGCATCGCAGCTGCTTTTACTCTCATCGGAGTCGATCAGCCTCCACAGACCGGTGGGCGTCTGGGGTCATCGTCGTCGTACATCGGGCGCGAGAGCAGACCGCACGATCGCCCTGTCCGGCGTTTAACGGCCGTTCACAGCGCTGGTTCTCAACCTTGTTGGTACGATGCCCCCCCCCCCCCCCCCGCTGGTCCCTGTGCCCCCCATGCCCCACCCGCCTCCATGTCCACATGTCCCCCCCCCCCACCCCCAGGTTACGAAGGCCACGAGACAAAGAGACCACATGTCCACGCCTCGAGCCGGTGGCTTTTGTCGCTGAAATGCGGCGCCGACGCTCGCCGCACACACTGGACAATTTCCCCTGCACAGTATCCATGCTGCAGCGTGCATCTCCCCCCCCCAACCGCATTTTTACCCCCCTGTGAAAAAGGGGGGGGGAGTGTGGGGGGGGCGGGCAGGACAGGCATCGCGACGCACGGGTTGAGAACCGCCGGTTTAACTCTCGTCCGACGTTGACCGCCGTCGTATCGTATGCCGCATCCACCCCCCCAACTGCCCCTCGAGGCTCCAGTTTGCTTCCCCCCGTGTCCAGACGAGGTGACGCTACGGGGCTGGGCGGCGGAGGGGCACCGCCTCACCGTTCTTGTATTCGAAGGTGAAGTAGGCGAGGCGCGAGGCAGCGAAGATGGCTTTGGGCGAGTGCAGGCACTGCACAACGGCGTCCATGAGCAGCACGTTGGTCGCCGCCTGCTGCAAGTACTGGGGGTCCTGAGGGGGTCGCAGGTCGACGAGCAAGGGTCAGGGGTCAGCGGGTCTTGAGCAACACACTCGCGGTGTTAACCTCGTTGTTGTTCTTCTTGGTTCTTTCGGTAAAGTCACGTAGAAGGGAAATAATAAAGTAATAAAAATAAAACATAATAAAATAATTCTCACGACGTTTCGGCCACAACGCAAGCAGCCGTCCTCAGGTGAAGACCAGGTCTGTCGGGGAGACAGCGTCTGAATGAAACATCACCACGCTTGGAGAAAGTTTTTTGGAATCCCACCCCGTAGTGGTGGTTAAATTTCGATTTAAAGCTTTCGTGACTGCAGGGATTCATCTTCTTGGACTTAAGGTAAAGTCACGTGACTGCAGGGATTCATCTTCTTGGTTCTTTCGGTAAAGTCACGTGGTTCTTTCGGTAAAGTCACGTGACTTTACCGAAAGAACCAAGAAGATGAATCCCTGCAGTCACGAAAGCTTTAAATCGAAACTTGTTGTTGTTGTTGAAATTGGCGGCGAGCATTTTGAATGAGTGCTAGAGCCAGGTGCGACGCACTGCTGTGAGGTTACACAAGGCAGAGATTCGTTTTCAATCGAGATTATAGGGAAATCATCGCTGCCCCCCCCCCCCCCCCCCCCACTGGCAGACTAATGCCTGACCGCAGGCCAGGTGCTGAGTCGACTGGACATCTGTGAAAAATGGCTTCACAGCTCATGGGATTGTCTCCAGGAGGAGTAAAGATATTGAAAGATTCCGATTCCGACTTCACTTTGTGCCGCACAGGTACGGCTGCCGCTGCGGGTGCCCTTTCAAGTGTGCTGAGAATCAAAACTAAACTAAAAACCGCACGCAATTTTTTTACATTTTTAATTTTTAATTTTACCAGTTAAGGCTCGCTGGGCTACATAGCTCTTTTTCAGAGGCGCCGAGCTGGCCACAAGCGACAGCTCATCGGCACAGTAAAGCGCTCCGCTACTCGAGGGGGAGGGCGGCTCTTCATCGGTCGCCACGCGAGATCGCGACGGCGATTCACGCGATGACTACGCCACTCGCCTTGTGGTGGTCAGCCATGCGCTTGCCGAGCCACATCTCCTGCACGATGAGTTGCCACAGGTCGCGCTCCGCCTTGAGGTTCGCCACGAAGGGCTCGTCCCGCCGCGACGTCGTCCTGATGCGCAGCGCCGCGATCTTGGGAGGGAAGATCGACGTCACGGCCACCGAGTCCACCTCCTGGGACGCGGGGGGGGGTATGGGGGGGACACCGCGGGGGGAAGATGGTTACCCTCGGTGGCGCAGTGAACGCGACGACCCGAGTTCTGTTCCCGACCACGGCAAACAGCATCGGCGATATCGGTACCGGGTCCTGCACTACCTAACCCCCCTTCACTGGCTGCATCTTCATGGGACTCACATTGTGGTGCCAGTCCGCAGCTTTGTAACTGAACACAAAACGCCGTACCAAAGAAATTGGTTTGCAATTGTGATTTTTTTAAATACATAGCTCGAGTGGCTTCCTAATATCTGAAGGAAGAGCTTTCCAGACGGCCGCGGTGACCACCGTCTTTGTTCGACGGCCAGCCAAAAGCCGGCACTCTTGGAGACTATACAAGGAGAGGGTGATGGGGGGGGCAGTATCAATGGTGGGTGGGGGGCAATCAGACGGCCAGCCAAAAGCCGCCGCCGCCACTGCGAGGACGATCGGAGTTCGAGTGACGGTGTGGACGGACGCACGCCGTGAACGTGCGGCTCCGGCGCTGTGGCGGTCGTGTCACCTGGATGTCCCGGAAGACGCCGACCTCCAGGTAGGTGTTCTTGCCCTCGGCGAGGAGGAAGAGTCGCCGCTGCGTCATCGCGAGGCGGCCCTGCCCCATGCTCGTCTTCACTGACGCCGACACCTTGGCACGCGCAGAGAGGGGGCGGCACACCACGTGGGTGTTAATAGGGGAGGGTGGCATTCGTGGAGGGAGGTACAAAGGGAGGATGGTACGCACGGGAGGGCGGCACCATACTGGGGTGGCACTCTTGGGGGCTGGACAAGGAGAAGGTGGGGCAGTATCAATGGTGGGCGGGGGGCACTCAGAAGGCGGTGGCGATCGTGTTCAGTGGAAGTCATCGTGGGCCGGGTGGCAGTCATGGTGGTTACGCTTATAGCGGGCGGCACCCACGGGACGGACGCTGAGGGGCGACGCTCACTGGGGGAGCAGCGCCACTGAGATTATTGTCGCCGCGACGGACTCACGCGGACCCGGACGTGCGAGCGACGGACATCCGTTCACCTTGTAGACGCACTCGCTGCGCTCCAGCCGCTCCACCACGCCCGAGGGCAGATCCAGATCCAGGGTCTCCTGCTCGGTCTCCTTCCACGCCTGGTAGAACGCGGCGAAAGTGTCCGGATCCACCTGCTTCTGCTGACCTGCACGTGCATGGGTGCACGTACACACGCGCGCACGTACACACGCGCGCACACACATGTACACATGTACACACGCGCGCAAACGCACGTACAGACACGTACAAAGACGTAATTAGCACGATTAGCTACGTACGGTGAAAAAGAAGTTCAACATACGTACACGTCATTAGATTTGAAGCTTACGTGTACACACATCATGCCAATTTAATTTTATGACAAAGATCCCCAATATAGATTTAACGGACTGTTGGGGCAAGTGCTGTTAGCGAGCACCTATGAAGGCCGGCACGGCACATGAGGGGGTGGGTGGCCAGCACCACGCCTGGCCACCTTTGTCTCTCTAATGGCGATGTTTACGCACTGCATCAGGTATCCATTTGAGGCTGAGCCGACCTAGGAGAGGCCCAGAACCGGTTACAATAATGATCACTGGTGGTGGCCACCAGCGACGTCTGAATTCGTGCCGCCGGGTTCATAGTGCAGCCCGCTAACCGCTACACTACCGCTCCACAAGCACGCACACGTGTACACACAAGAAGGACAACAATAGCTGCCATTCGCCACTCAGTGGCGGTGAAGTCACCACAGCGCTTGTGCCAGGCTAGGTGCACTGAGGTGCCAAAGGCTCGCTCGCAGGTCACGGGACAGGTTCAGGTGTTACGGGTTAACTCACTGAGATGATTTAACATGATTTACTTTGGCCAGATTTTTCACACACAAAAACAATGGAAAAGTCACCACAGTGGGGTATTTTGTCCGTCTTAGTCAGGAAACATTGTTTTTATTTAATTTGTATCATGTCCCATGGTATATAAATTGCAGTCTCCCACCTGTTATCCACTCTGCCTCTCTGACCTATCTGTAGGCTGTGGGGAAGGGCCATTGCTTGAAACATCACCGATTATATTTTTGTTCCTTTTGAAGCCACTGTCGTTGATGAGTTTTCTTGTTTTCGTTATCACCAATTAATTTTGCTTAATTTCGTGGATCATGGACTTCGCTGGACTCGTCACGCGAAGCCGTAACACCTGGGGTGGAGTTTTTAATTTCACGGTGACCCCCCCACCGACCCATCACCGCCACCCCCCTCCGACCGCACTCCGCCATCACTGGAACTAAAGCCACAAAGACGCGGCAGTAAAAGCCGTCGTATTCATAGGGCGTGGCTCGACTCTGGCTCAGTTTTTCACGTGACGCATAGAGGGCAGAGCCTCTGGCAGAAAAGCGGTTACGACCTAAATGGTGACATTTTCATGGGTGAAATTTCGTGTTGAGCTGAGGCCCGAGCCGCTCCATCGCTTCCGATGTACGAAATGTGAACGTGCGGGTTGAACCATGGCTCGGCTCAGGCTGAGCACGGCTGGGAAACCACGCCGAGAGCTGGCTCAGGTTAAGCCTGGAGGCTTTGAGCCGGCTTGTACGCGCCAAAGCCAGGCGTGAGCCAGGCCTGAGCCAGGCCAGAGCCGATCGGTGACTGAGAGCACGGATCCGAGCGTGCGTGTGTGCTCGCGTGCGACGTTGTCTCACTGAGCGTGAGCGCTTGGAAGAGGCGGCGTATGGTTCCCTCCTCGCGCACGATGCCCGACTCCTGGACGCAGCGCACGAACTCCTCCTCCTGCAGGTGCTTGCTGGGCAGGGCGAAGTTCTTGACGCGCTCCTCACTCTCTTGCCTCCACAGCGTCGCGGCGGCCTGCTGCCACCACGGCCCCACCCCCCAACCACGGATACGGTCAACAAGTTTCTTACACGCCGACTGCGTCGCGCGACAGGGATTTCGTTCCCCCCGCGGTTACGACAACGTCTTGGCTCTTCTTGGTTCTTTCGGTAAAGTCACGTAGAAGGGAAGTAATACAATAATAAAAACAATTCTCACGACGTTTCGGCCACAACGCAAGCAGCCGTCCTCAGGTGAAGACCAGGTCTGTCGGGGAGACAGCGTCTGAATGAAACACCCCAGGCTTGGAGCGTATATTTAAGCTGGGTTGGAAGGGCGCCTTAAAAAAAGAATTTGCATATCAAGAGGAATTTATCATATTTATGGGAAATGCAGGTATGTGATTAGTACTACTTGTGAAATGCGTAGGAGGTGGGCGGGGGGTTTCAAAGTCATATTATGCCCGTGCATTATGCAGGATTAGCAGCATCAAAGGGAGGGGATAGAAACGTCTTGGCTCACAACGCCAGGTATCCATTCCGCCACGCAGATGTGCACCCGCGCTCACGTGAGCACACCGCACGCCCCTCACCACGCTGCGCACCGCCACCACGGCGGACAGCTCCTGCAGCAGCCGGCGCAGCTCGGGCCGCCGCTCCGCCTGGCGCCTCTCCTCGTCCGACAACGCCGCCAGCAGCTCGGCGGCGGCGGCGCGCGGCAGCACGGCGACGTCGCAGCGTGCCAGCGACGCGAACTCGGCCAGCGCGTCCACGGGCCGCCCTGCGGCGGCGTACACGCAGCCGCGCAGGTAGTGGTAGGAGGCGAGCAGCGCCGAGCTGTCGCCGCGGGCGCGCAACTCCCGCCCGGGTGCCGCCGCCGGCGGCGGAGGAGGAGCAGGGGGCGCCGGCGGCGGCGGTGCGGCCGGAGCAGACGAGATGCCGGACACCTGGGCGCCTGCGAGGACGGACGGAAGGACGGGCGGACGCGTGGGCACGTGGCGAGAGCGGCGTGCGAAGAACGACGGCTCCGACGCGTTCGACAGTGACACGAGCCTGAAGATTATAACACTGGCCTAAAGACGATAACACTGCCCTAAAGATGAGGCTGGCCTAAAGACGATGACACTGCCCTAAAGATGAGACTAGCCTAAAGACAATGATACTGGCCTAAAGATAACACTGGCCTAAAGATGATAACACTGCCATAAAGATGATGATAACGCCCTAAAGATGATAATACTGGCCTAAAGAAGATGACACTGCCCTAAAGATGATGACACTGACGTAAAGATGATGATAATGGCCTAAAAACGATAACACTGGCTTAAAGACGATAACACTGGCCTCAAGACAATGACACTGCACTCAACACGATAACACTGCCCTAAAGGCGTTGAGCGTCGCACCGGTCTGCGTGAAGTTGATGGCGAGGGTGAGCTTCTCGGCGCACTCGCCGTAGTAGCTGGCGACGGCCGGGCCGTGCTGCGGCCGGCTCGGGAAGGGCGGCAGGCAGAACGTCGGCGGCGGCTCGCACCGCCTCATGTCCCCCCGAGCGCCATCCGTCTCTAGCGGGCGGAGGGGCGACGAAAAGGGAGGGAGGTGGCGGCGGCGGTCGGGATCGGGCAGAGGCGTCAAACGAGACCGGAGACCCGGATGGTATCGCTCGCTCCAGCAGCAGCAGCTGCAATTTTTATTTTACCAGGTAAAGCCCACTGAACTATGTCACTCTTAATCAAGTGAGTTTAACACGTAGGCTTTCGCGACCAATATTATTCATAATCAACGTTTTTTGGTTTAGATCGCGTTATTTATAAATGTGTCGTAACCCTCCACCACCCGACACGGCCAATCAGTAAAAAAGTGTCACGTTGACAAAAGACAAATAGTTCACTGCTTTAGCCCACCGGTGTGTTGAAGAATGAATCCACGACATTTACAGTTTTTGAGTACGACGTTTCGCTGGTAATTGCATCCAGCAATTCGCCAGAATGGTGAATTGGAAAATTGCCCGATGATGCTGGATGCAATTACCAGCTAAACGTCGTACTCAAAAATTGTAAATGTTGTGGTTTCACGCTTCAACACACCGGTGGGCTAAAGCAGTGAACTATTTGTCTTTTGTCAACGTGACACTTTTTTACTGATTGGCCGTGTCGGGTGGTGGAGGGTTACGACACATTTATAAATAACGCGATCTAAACCCAAAAACGTTGATTAACCAAGTGGCTTATCATCACGTGGCAATGCGTTGTCTCGTCTTCGGCCATCCTCGAGGGTTGGCCGCAGCACGAGGCAATCCTTCGACACTGCCTCCGTCAAGGTCCGACCCGCACCTCAACGTGCCGAAGGGGTGAACGGCTAAAGTAGGAGATTGCCTGTTGAGGCTACGCCGTCAGGGGCGACGGTACCGAGGCTGAAGCACCGCCTGGGGCGTTACGCGAGGTGCGGAGGCCCAACAGGAACCCGGAAAATAGTTGGCTGACGCGGGCGGCGAAAATTTGGGCAGAAGCGGGTCTTCTGACACTCGTTGGGCTGAGGACTGCATGCTGTGGGCAACGGCCAGCTTGTGAAGATGGGAAGGCACATCAAAGTGCAACTGGTAAAAGGCTTCCTTGCCGCGAGATGGAAAGATGAGCGGTCCTGCCATCCTATTTCCCCCAACGGCACTGTGGACAGTGGAAATGTACAGCGGCCAAATGCTCAAAAACGAACATCGATTCTAAATGTGGAGGGGAAAAACCGAAGGACCCGGAGAAAAATCCTCGCGACCGCGGGGAGAGAGACGCAAACTGAAAATATACAGGCATCGGGGTTGGGATCGAACCCACGACCTCCTGCATACCAGGCGAGGTAGTCAACATCTCGCCAAGGTGGCACTCCTTAGCTCCGGAGTCAAGGGGGATGGAGAGACAAAGGTGGCCGGGAGTGGCTTCGACCAATGCCAACCCATATTCTTAGGTCTTTTCGGTAAAGTCACGTAGGTTAAAAATAAAAAATTTATAAAAATAAAATAAAAAATCACGACGTTTCGGAGGCAAGTGCGTGTAGGCCCGTGCGTGTGTCGTGATTTTTTAAATTTTATTTTACTTTTATAAATTTTTATTTTTAACCTACGTGACTTTACCGAAAAAACCTAAGAATATGAATCCTTGCAGTCACCAAAGCTTCAAATCTAGAATCAATGCCAACCCCTTCGTGTGCCGTGCCAGCCCTTTACCAGTGCTCACTTAACAGCATTTGCTCCAACAAACTTCGTAGGCTACACAGGGGTTCTTTGCGCGTGCGTGCGAGTGAGTGTGGGCTCGTGCGTGTGAGTGCATGTAGGCCCGTGCGTGCGCGCGAGTGCGTGCGAGTGCGTGTGGGCCCGTGCGTGCGTGCGAGTACGTGCGAGTGCGTGTGGGCCCGTGCGTGCGTGCGAGTACGTGCGAGTGCGTGTGGGCCCGTGCGTGCGTGCGAGTACGTGCGAGTGCGTGTGGGCCCGTGCGTGCGCGCGAGTGCGTGCGAGTGCATGTGGGCCCGTGCGTGCGAGTGCGTGCGAGTGCGTGTGGGCTCGTGCGTGCGAGTGCGTGTGGGCCCGTGCATGCGTGCGAGTACGTGTGAGTGCGTGTGGGCCCGTGCGTGCGTGCGAGTACGTGTGAGTGCGTGTGGGCCCGTGCGTGCATGCGAGTGCGTGCGAGTGCGTGTGGGCCCGTGCGTGCGTGCGAGTACGTGTGAGTGCGTGTGGGCCCGTGCGCGCGTGAGTACCACAGGTTGCGGAGGCGGAGCGCACGGAGCCATCCCGCCAGAAGTACTGGTTCTGCGCGTGCGGCTCCCGCAGATTGGGCATGCTGATCGCCACGCGCCGATTCAGCTGCTGGCTCTTGCTCGCCACTTCGCCCACGGTCAGCTTGCGCGGGGCGTCCACCATCTCGTGCTTCAGCCTGGCTCGCGACGGGCGCGGCGGTGTCAATCGCGTGCCGGCGAGCGCGCCCGCAAGCTCGTACGCTCACCACGAAGTTTCCCGTGAAAATGTCACGGTTTAAGTCGTAACCGCTTTTCTGCCAGAGGCTCTGCCCCTCTACGCGTCACGTGGAAAAATGTATTATAAAAGAATAAAGATGATTTTCCGAACTGTAAATGAATAAATGACGAATGAGAACGAAGTTTGTCATATTTCACGAACCCCATAAGATTATCGCGGTGATAAAATGTCGGTCGTGGTTATACGGAGCTAAGGTGAAGGTCGTAGATCATACATCATCAATACCATCGGTCTCTGGATCTTCCCGGTTAGAATGAGCTCTTGCCTGACATCCCAATTAAATGACAAAAGTTATCGCTGTCAGAGGGTTATGACTCACAGCTAAATGTTGTTTGTTATCACGCGTTCACACCCTGGATAACACTCAGGCACTGGTGTGTTCGCGTTTGTGCTTTCACGATTGTGGAGCGGCACTGTAGCATTGCCCGAAATGAACCTGGTCACCTGAGTTTGATTGCTGCTGACAACCACCACCAGTTACGATTATTCGAATCATTATTGGGCCTTCCCTAGGTCGACTCAGCCTCAAATGAGTAAATGGTGCGATCTTCCACACCTGTGCGCGTGCGAGCGGGTGATCTGCTCAAGCCTGGAGAAAGCGTCCATCTTCCTGCTGAGTCGATCCTTCAGGAAGCACTTGAACATGTCCGTCTCCAGCACCTGTGGCATTTCATCCGCGTCGTCATCAGCACACGGGGGGAGGGGGGGGGAGGGGGGGAGGGGGGGAAGGGGGGAGGGGGGGGAAGGGGGGAGGGGGGGGGGAGGCAACGCCACCATTTGAGCTGCACTCCAATTCACGACGTCGCAGCGAGAGTCGTGGGTTGCTGCCGCCTTCCGCCACGAATCGCCGTGCCGTTAGAGGTCCGCGCCACTGGCTGGATTGGCAATTCGGCGGCGTGAACACATGACCGTTGTAAATGAGTGGGAAAAAAAATAAAACTTGCATCTTCTTTAAAATATATAGAGTGCCTTTCAACGTGGCACGTAAAATAAAATTTGTAAAGGTATAAACTGGCACCCACTCCTCGTCGCAAGGGCTGTGGAGTGGGTGACCACGATAGAAGGTGAGGGGGGGGGGGAGCCGTCACTGCCACTTAGTGTTGTCGCTGCTGCTGTGCAAGCCGCCTGTCCTGCAGCAAGCGGTTTGGTAGAGCGTCGCAACATGCGAGCGTCACATCTCCTACTCTCCGGCAAACACTCGCCACCTCCTCACGTTCACACTCCCAATTCGTTGTTTTCCTTTGCGGTGGACAGAGAGCGGGTTGAATGAGGGGGCGGAAAAAGCAACAAGTGGCCACGCAATCGCATCGAACTCTAGGAGAGAGGCTACTGCTGTGTGGACGTGGATGTCTTCGATTTGTACGCATGTTGAATGTAGCCAACCGTGCTGATCGGAGGTGTCGGGGAAGGCCGGCAAATTCTAAAGAAATGAGTTTTCAATCAAGACTTAAAAGTGCATCTCTCCAGTGGCTTTCTAATATCGGAAACAGAGCGCGTTCCAGACGGCCGCAGAAGCGCATCTGAAAAGCGCGCGATGCAGAGACCGTCTTTGTTCGATGGCCAACCAAAAGCCGCCGACTACTGCGACGACGATGTCTGGAAGTCCGCGCGATGATTCCAGCCCGGTTCTATCCGCGGGCCGCCATCGCTTTCGAGCGGGTCATGGAAACGACACGTCTGGACGGCAGTGAGCGCGCGTCGCGGCACCTTGGTGTAGAAGGGAAGGTCCATCAGCTCCTGCGACTTGAGGAACTCGTCGCTGTTGAAGACGCGGTGCTCGTAGCTCAGGTGCTGATTGACGTCCCTGGGGAGGAACGGGGCTCCGTGAGTTCGTGGCGAGGTGGTGCCGACCGCAGTTTGTGACGTCGCTGAGAAAGGTGACGATTTGATTTTGACCGAGCGCCCCATCGTTATCCACGTCTGTGTGTCTGTCTGTCCATCTCTGTGTGCGTCTTTGACTCCGTGTCCACGTTTGTCTCTCTGTCCATCTCTGTCTCAGTGTCCGTCTCTGTGTCCAAACCCGTCTCTCCATGGTGTCCGTCTCTCCGCGTGCGTGCGTACGGCACGCGGAGGGGCGAGCGTGCGAACCGGAAGAGGTCGACCACGTAGCGCAGGGCTGCGCGTCGCAGCTCGGCGTGCAGCGACTGCTGCCACAGGCGACGCCGCTCGCGCGCCTCCGCCAGGCTGCCGCCGGCGCTGCGCGACAGCCCCGCCAGGTCGTAGTGCAGGTTCAGCGCCTCCACACTGCGGAACCACACAGACAGACGTGGAACAACACAGACGCGTAACCACACAGACAGACGCGGTGTTACCACACAGACAGACGCGGCATCACCACACAGACAGACAAAGAAGCACACAGACAGACGTGGAACAACACAGACAGACGTGGAACAACACAGACGCGGAAGCACACAGACAGACGCGGCGTCACCACACAGACGCGGTTCTGTGCAGACGCGGGACTACACAGACGCATCACCGCAGAGAAGAGACACCACACGCACGCGGCATCGCAGGGACGCGCCGTGAACACCACAAACTAACCGCGGCCCACCCACCAACACCAACCACCCAAGCACAAGTACTCTCCCACCATCTCACCAAGGCCATTATTTTCGTGAAAAATTTCGGCGTTTCTCCTTCAATGTCGAAAAAAGTTTTGCTGCCTGGCTGGCTGGCTGGCACGGGGGCGGGCAACTGCGGGTTGGCGTCGTCGCCGCTTACATCTGGGAGATGACGTTACCCCGCGGTGACCCCCAAATCAAGGCCACTAGTTCCCACGCCTCCTCCCCCCCCAGCCCCCATGCCCACCCCCCCCCCCCCAGACGATAAGGCCACGACAAAGAGAGATCGAACGTCCACTCATCTCGTCGATACTGTTCATGCTGCGTGGATATTCCTCGCACGTGTTATGCGTTTCTCCTGCACGGTAGCCATTCCAGCAGCCTGTGCCCCCCCTCCCCCCAAAGTCCGACCCACGCGTTGAAAACCGCCGCTGTGGAGGGGACCACCACTCCCGTGTCACCTGCACAGGAAATGCTGCTGGGCAGCGCCGGGAGCGTTGGGCACGTCGATGAGGGCGTCTGCCTGCGAGGCCAAGATCCGCCGGGTGCTCACGTTCACCAGCACCAGGTCCTCCACCTGGCAGAATGGTCGCGGCCAACGTCAACATCGCACAGCGCCGAATCGGAGGCTATGGTCGGGGTCACCGTCGTGAACGCCACCGCCATCGTCATCATCGAGTTCACCAGCAGCAGGTCGTCAACTTGCCACCGTGACACCGCCACCGTTTTGTACGCCATCATCACCGCCGTCAACACTGCAAACATCAATCGCCTCGTGTAAAAAAATAATCACCGCATTACACTCCCACGCTCCTGTTGAAACCGCAGCAGATTATAATGGCTCGTGTTCAAAAGAGCCGCCCTTCGTCGTGTACAATCTTCATGCATTCAAAGGGCACCCCCAGTGGCAACTGTCCCTGTGCAGCCACAAGGTAACCCAGCACCTACCTGACCTGCAAGGGGGACATTAATGATGACAATAATAATCATATAAATTTAGCACATTTGGTATTCGCCATCATCCGACAGACGGCGAATACCTGAGAGAGAGAGCGAGAGAGGGGGAGCGAGTGAGCGTGTGTCCGTGTTGGGGAGCGGTGGTGGCCACGGTTGGCATGCCGCGCTACGTACCCGGCGACCCGAGTTCGATTCCCGCTCAAGGCCAACATCGGCGACGATTATCTGAACTGGTCCCGGGCCTACCCTCAAATAAGTACCCGGTGCGGTGTGTAAACATCGCCACTGGGGAAACAAAGGCGGCCGGGCGTGGTGCTGGCCACCCACCCCCTCGTGTGCCTTCCCGCCTTCATAGGTGCTCGCTAACAGCACTTGCCCCTACAGCCCATTAAGGCTATAACGGGGGGGGGATCTTTGTCTTCGTCCGTATGTACGCAGTGTATAGTGAACTTCTCTCGCACCGTACGTAGCCGACCGCGGTGCTAATTGTGAGCTGCGGGCATGCGGGGGTGGTGGTGGTTGGGCACGAACCCTGTCGACGGTGGAGAGGTGGCGGGAGTGGCAGCCCATGAGGAAGACAGTGGGCGCCTCCAGGAAGTCGAGCATGCCCGCCGAGAGCACGGGCGCGTAGGCGTGCCGCCAGGACAGCGGCCGCAGGAGGTGCAGGAGGCTCTCCGCCAATGGCGTCAGCAGGGACAGCTCCGGCGACAGCAGCACCACCCGCCGCTCCGTGAGGAGGCACGTCAGGATCTGGGCGCGCGAACGGGGCGGCAGTTCGTGGGGGTGCGGGCGCACATGACCGCCCCCCCCCCCCCGATTCTACGCGGATTCGAAACCGGCCCTCCCCCCCCACCCGCCCGCCCGCGACGTACGGAACGCGTCCGTCGATTCGCTCGCGTTGTTGGAGTGTTACAACGCGCGTGAATTGTTTGGCGACCGGCAGACAGATCGGAAATGGGGACCGTCGAATCACGGAATATCAAGTTCGAGTCACTCTTTGTTTCCATCAATTATCTCTTCTCTCCACAATGCAGGTTTTTGGTGGTTTTTAGGTTCTAAAGCAAAAAAACCTGAATATCGGTTGCGAAAGCCCACGTGTTGAACTGTCTCTTCTCTGTCTTCTGAAAATATGTCACTCGCCCATATCGATGTCTTAAAGCTCTCGCGCATAAACTTCTATTTCTTATTGATACCTCTTCTATCTTATTTCACTTCGGCGAGCTATCTCCATCTTCTGTTGCTTCCGCATTCAAGTCTTGATATCATGATCCTATCCCTTGCAAATACAAATCTTCCGCATCTTCTCAATGCATAATTTTACCATTTCCAATTTCCTTATGTGGCCATTTAACAGCGAATTATATAACGAGCGCGGTAATCCTGTAATTCACTTGCATTGGCCACTTTAAGCAACTATCTGCGATTTAAGTTTTGCTACCTTATTTAAGTTTTGCATACATCCCATTGATTTTTTGGGTGGGGGTGGGGCGGGGGAGGGGGGCGTGGGGGGGCTTTTGTTGCCTTGGTGTGCACTTAGCCTGGCACCACTTAGTGGCGAATGGTCGCCGTTGCTATCATCGTTGTTGTTGTCATTGTTGTTGTCGTTGTTGTTGTCGTTGTTGTTGTCGTTGTTGGACCTTTCATGCCCACGAGTTTTCGCTGCTGCCACAGAGCGAACTGAATCCCGATGTTGCCCCAGTGTCGGATTATCCGAGGAGCAAAAGTAGCTACTACACGTGTAGTAGCTACTACTACTACATGTGTAGTAGCTACTACTACTACATGTGTAGTAGCTACGGGCCCCGCACTTTCAAGGGCCCCACGCTAAATGCTTTCAAGCTATCAATTCCGGTTCAGTGATTCTGCACTTTGCTCTATTACTATAGTACTATACTGCCTTCAACTTTTATGAAAAACTGGGTGTTTAGGGTTAGCGATTTGTCGTATTATCTGGCTGTATAGCAAATGAAAAATACAATTACTTTACTATGCAAGTAAAATATTAACCCACGTAAAGTTTCACGTCTTTTAAAAAAAATTAGGGCCCCTTTATAACATGTGCTACAGGCCCCACACTAGGTTAATCCGGCATTGTGTTGCCCCTGCTACGCGGGCGGGCGGGTACCTGCAACACCTGGCTGGGACTGAAACACAGGAAGGGAAGACGGAGGTCCACGTCGATCGCTGGTTCCCCCGGCTCGGAGGGCGGAGTGAGGATCATCTGCAGCGGCCGCAGCATCAGGCTCTGCACGCGGCGGCAACACCAAACTGAGTGTCATCTCATCTGTACGGCGTTTAACCACCACGCTACTGCAGGTCACGACAACACGCGCTCACGCACCCACACACCCACTCACTCATCCACCCACTTAGCCACTCACCCACCCACCCACTCACGCACTCACTCACACACTCACTCACACACTCACTCACCCACTCACTCACACACACACTCACTCACTCATCCACCCACTTAGCCACTTAGCCACTCACCCACTCACTCACTCATCCACGCACTTACCCACTTCGCCACTCACCCACCCACTCACGCACTCACTCACTCACACACTCACTCACACACTCACTCACCCACTCACTCACACACACACACACTCACTCATCCACCCACTTAGCCACTTAGCCACTCACCCACCCACTCACTCACTCATCCACACACTTACCCACTTCGCCACTCACCCACCCACTCACGCACTCACTCACTCACTCACACTCACTAACTCACTTACCCACTTAGCCACTCACCCACCCACTTCACCACTCACCCACCCACCCACCCACTCACTCACCCACCCACTCACGCACTCACTCACACACTCACCCACCCACTCACTCACCCACCCACTCACGCACTCACTCACTCACTCACACACTCACTCATCCGCCCACTTACCCACTTCACCACTCACCCACCCACCCACTCACGCACTCACTCACTCACGCACTCACTCACTCACTTACCCACTTCACCACTCACCCACCCACCCACTCACGCACTCACTCACTCACGCACTCACTCACTCACTTACCCACTTAGCCACTCACCCACCCACTTCACCACTCACCCACCCACCCACCCACTCACACACTCACTCACACATTCACTCATCCACTCAATCAGTGGAGACAGGAATCCTTCATATCTGAAGAAAAGGCTCGCACAGAATACGAGGGGGTGGGGGGCAGCACCATGCCCGGCCGTCTTTGTCTCCCCACTGCTGATGATTACACATTGCACTACTTGGCATCTGTGAAAATAAGAGCTTCATAGCTCATCGGATTCGTCCAGTCAAAATACAAATTCTGATTCTTTGGGTCTTTCGGTAAAGTCACGTAGATAGGTTCAAAGAAAATAACAAAAAAAACTACGACGTTTCGATAGAAACGCAAGCGGTCGTCATCAGGAAAAGCGGGTTCGCTTCTAAAGGCAAACTGTTCACTAATCATGATTCTGATACCACCTTGCGTCAGAGAATGCCCAGCATAAAGAGACTTTGCGTGACTCCTCTTGAGATCCCTTTGAGTGACGTTTTTTAAAATCCCATAACCAGAAGGGGACGCCACACACTTCCCGCATGCCTTGCCAGGGGTAAAATATTAGTACTGGTAGGAACCTCCTGGTTACACCAGCCCACAGGGGATAATTGTGTCCGTACGTCCGTCGTGCATCCAAAAATGGGAGGGGTGGGGCTGGGTGGAGAGGGGAGGGTGGGGAGGGGCTGGGTGGGGAGGGTGGGGAGGGGCTGGGTGGGGAGGGGAGGGTGGGGAGGGGCTGGGTGGGGAGGGGTTGTTCACCCCGTGGTGCCCTTATAAAACTCAACGTTTAACCTACTCACGCCGGCTTGTACCCGCCCTCACAGTCGGCCATATTTGCGGAATACACCACGCCGCCGTTGACCCTGGACATTGACCGAGCAACCCAACGTTCCTACCAGCTCCCTCCGCAAGGAATGTGTTTAAACCGTTATTTGTCCAATTCTCAGAGCTTCACAACGCAGTCAAAGTGTATTGTAAAAGGGTGACGCAATAGTGCCAGTCGTTCCGAACTCGCTGACCTGACCGCGGCTAACATCAGTGGCGAGCGATTACTCCCAACCTCCCCCCCACCCCTTCTCCCAACTCGCACTGACCAGCGTGGTGAAGCGTGGCGAAACAACTCCCGTGGCCGACACAGTGCGGGGGAAGGAAAACAGATCACTCCGGTCGTGGATTGGTAATTATTCTCCGTGCGACAGCGGCATGCGGGAGGTCATGGGTTTGATCCCGAACCCGACGCCTGCTGTACATTCTCCCCGTGGTTGCATGGATTTTTCTCCAGGTCTTCCAGTTTCCCCCCCTCCACATTCGGCATCAACATGCGATTGGAGTAATGTGGCTGCTACATTCGTCCACGTGATAAGCCACTTTGTCGAGCCATCATTTGTGGCCAGGTCGATTCCAAAAAAGGGCTCAGCGGACCCAGCCTGTCTTCTTGGTTTTTTCGGTAAAGTCACGTAGAAGGGAAGTAATATAATAATAAAAATAAAACATAATAAAATAATTCTCACGACGTTTAGGCCACAACGCAAGCAGCCGTCCTCAGGTGAAGACCAGGTCTGTCGGGGAGACAGCGTCTGAATGAAACACCACCACGCTTGGAGCGTATATTTAAGCTGGGTTGGAAGGGGGGAAGGGCGCCTTGACAAAATAATTTGCATATCAAGAGGAATTTAGCATATTTATGGGAAATGCAGGTATGTGATTAGCACTACTTGTGAAATGCGTAGGAGGTGGGCGGGAGGTTTCAAAGTCATATTATGCCCGTGCATAATGCAGAATTAGCAGTATCTATATATGAAATAAGAACAGTTTACACAGTTTTAGAGTTTAATTGCGGAGTGCGGTTTTGTGTGCAGTCGTAGGTGGCCGCATGTCAGTGGTGCCGGGGCTCAGCGCTCAACGAACCCGAGCCACCCGGCCACCCTGAGAAGAGGGAATTTCACGTAAACACGGCAGCAGCGGTGGGGGGAGGGGCAGGGTGGAGGGGGGTAGGGGGGGGACCGTGGTTGGGGGGGTAGGGGGGGGCGGCATTACCACGTGAAGAACTCCCGGGGGCGGGCAGGGCACCAGAGCCAGCGTCGCTGCAAAGTCAGCGATCCGGTCATCAAACAGCGAGTCCTTGGTGGACTGCAGCTCCATGAGCAGGCTGCGGAGAGAGGCGGGGTCGCGCGCACTCTCAGGTCGCCCGCGCCACGTCCCGGACGAGGCCGCAAGCGCACGCAGATTCTCACCGAGCGTTTACGTATTCTCCTGGTTACAGTCCGAGACGCTCCGGAGGACTAAGACGCACCGCACTGAACTTATGCCCGGTGCCAATAAAGTTATACAAATCCGCTCACGCGCACACACACACACGCTCACACGTACCGGATTATAAAACGCAGCACCGCCAAGTTTAGGTTTAACAAATGAGTTTACTTCAGATATTCCGGTTTCCTCCCTCCACTGAGTGAGTGGTTGAGTGAGTGGTTGAGTGAATGGGTGAGTGAATGGGTGAGTGAATGGGTGAGTGAATGGGTGAGTGAATGGGTGAGTGAATGGGTGAGTGAATGGGTGAGTGAATGGGTGAGTGAATGGGTGAGTGAATGGGTGAGTGAATGGGTGAGTGAGCGTGTGGGTGAATGAGTGAGAGGGCTGAATACGTGACTTGTTGAATGCGTGAGGGGGTGAGTAAGTGGACAGTTGAGTGGCTGTCATCTCTACTGGAATGAGTAAGTGGATGAGTCAGTCAGTGAATGAGTGAGTGAATAAGTGGTTGAGTGAGTGGGTGAGTAAGTCAGTGGGTGAGTGAGTGGGTGAGTAGATGATTTAGTTAATGGGTAAGTGTGAGTGGATGTGTGGGTGGTTGAGTGGGTAAGCGGGTGAGTGACTGAGTTAGTGGGTAAGTGAATGAGTGGTTGAGTGGGTGAGTGAGTGAGTGAGTGATTCAGTGGGTGAGTGGGTACGTGGGTGGTTGAGTGAGTTGGTGAGCGGGTGAGTGGGTATGTCGGTGGTCGAGTGAGTGGGGCGAGGGGTGATCGTCCCCACTGGAGGGGTGATCGTGCCCGCCGTGTGTGAACGCTGCATGTTACGAGCGAGCGGAGTCTCCCCCGCGAGCCTCACCAGGAGAGGCAGTCCCGGAGAACCGTGTAGTAAGGCGACTTGGAGATGACACAGATGGCGTATGGCAAGTAGGGGCTTTTCCCGGGCCTGCCCAGCCGTCTCTGTCCCGGTTGCCTGAGCGAGCCGTTGGATGCCCAGGGCAGCGGCCCCGTGTCCTGGTGGCACCAAAAAGAGGGGCAAGGGTCAGGACGATGGGCATCGCCAGCGGTCGATGTGTGACGATGCCTCCGCTCACCGATGAATGTTCCATGATGAGAATCTCGGCGCGTAAGTTTTTGCGCAGCCGAGATTACGATTCACAGTTGATGTCCGGGTGAGGCAACGTGGTGATGATCTCGCTAGAGGTGTGTCGTGATAGCCTTTCCACCACCCCGCGCAGCCAAACACGGTCAGTCGCCAAGCATTTACCGCACAAATGATTACGGGTTCAGCGGACCGGTGAGTTCAAGAACAATTCTCACAACCTAGTCGAGCGATCAGATGAACTCGACACGACGGGCGAAACGGAGCCGCGCATCGTCAGGACAGAATCCGGGAAGTCGGAGTAACGTTGATCGGTGCAGCTCAAAGAAAAACTTCCCTGTGGGAGGAAACTGTAGAATTCAAGTAAAACCATGCACATGAAGGAATAGCAGCAATCAAAGTTCTGCTGCACTTTCATGGCCCAAGCCTCTAACTCTTGATATTCGCAGAAAGCCGCCCATCCAACTACTAACCAAGTTCAACCCTACTTAGCTTCGGAGATCCCAGCAGAGACATGTGCACTGTGATTAGATCGTAGACACGGGTGAGGAGTGTGCGTGTGTTGAACTTTTTTATCACCCCGTACGTAGCCAATCGTGCAAACGGGGGGAGGGGTCAGAGACTGAAGGGGGGGAGGCCGAGAGGGAGGAGAAGGGGGCAGAGTGGGGAGAGAGGTGAGGGGTGGGAGAGGGCAAAGAGGGAAGTGAGAGAGTAGAGAGGGAGGAGAGGAACGTGTGGGAGTAGGGAGAGGGGGAGTGGTGGGAGAGTGGAGAGGGAGGAGAGGGGGGAGAGGGAGGAGAGGGGGGAGAGGGACGTGTGGGAGTAGGGAGAGGGGGAGTGGTGGGAGAGTGGAGAGGGAGGAGAGGGGGGAGAGGGAGGAGAGGGGGGAGAGGAACGTGCGGGAGTAGGGAGAGGGGGAGTGGTGGGAGAGTGGAGAGGGGGGAGAGGGGGGAGAGGGACGTGCGGGAGTAGGGAGAGGGGGAAGAATGCAAGAGAGTGGAGAGGGAGGAGAGGAACGTGTGGGAGTAGGGAGAGGGGGAGTGGTGGGAGAGTGGAGAGGGAGGAGAGGGGGGAGAGGGAGGAGAGGGGGGAGAGGGACGTGTGGGAGTAGGGAGAGGGGGAGTGGTGGGAGAGTGGAGAGGGAGGAGAGGGGGGAGAGGGAGGAGAGGGGGGAGAGGAACGTGCGGGAGTAGGGAGAGGGGGAGTGGTGGGAGAGTGGAGAGGGGGGAGAGGGGGGAGAGGGACGTGCGGGAGTAGGGAGAGGGGGAAGAATGCAAGAGAGTGGAGAGGGAGGAGAGGAACGTGTGGGAGTAGGGAGAGGGGGAGTGGTGGGAGAGTGGAGAGGGAGGAGATGGGGGAGAGGGACGTGCGGGAGTAGGGAGAGGGGGAAGAATGCAAGAGAGTGGAGAGGGAGGAGAGGAACGTGTGGGAGTAGGGAGAGGGGGAGTGGTGGGAGAGTGGAGAGGGGGGAGAGGGGGGAGAGGGACGTGCGGGAGTAGGGAGAGGGGGAAGAATGCAAGAGAGTGGAGAGGGAGGAGAGGAACGTGTGGGAGTAGGGAGAGGGGGAGTGGTGGGAGAGTGGAGAGGGGGGAGAGGGGGGAGAGGGACGTGCGGGAGTAGGGAGAGGGGGAAGAATGCAAGAGAGTGGAGAGGGAGGAGAGGAACGTGTGGGAGTAGGGAGAGGGGGAGTGGTGGGAGAGTGGAGAGGGGGGAGAGGGGGGAGAGGGGGGAGAGGGACGTGCGGGAGTAGGGAGAGGGGGAAGAATGCAAGAGAGTGGAGAGGGAGGAGAGGAACGTGTGGGAGTAGGGAGAGGGGGAGTGGTGGGAGAGTGGAGAGGGGGGAGAGGGGGGAGAGGGACGTGCGGGAGTAGGGAGAGGGGGAAGAATGCAAGAGAGAGGAGAGGGAGGAGAGGAACGTGTGGGAGTAGGGAGAGGGGGAGTGGTGGGAGAGTGGAGAGGGGGGAGAGGGGGGAGAGGGATGTGCGGGAGTAGGGAGAGGGGGAAGAATGCAAGAGAGTGGAGAGGGAGGAGAGGAACGTGTGGGAGTAGGGAGAGGGGGAGTGGTGGGAGAGTGGAGAGGGGGGAGAGGGGGGAGAGGAACGTGCGGGAGTAGGGAGAGGGGGAAGAATGCAAGAGAGTGGAGAGGGGGATCGGAGGGAGAGCAAGCGGAGGGGGAGGGAGGAGGGAGACGGGAAGAGGGAGGAGAGGGAAATGCGGGAGTAGGAAGAGGGGGAGTGGAGGGAGAGTGAGAGGAGTGAGAGGAGGGAGAGGGGGGAGAGGGGGGAGAGGGGGAGGCACCTGTAGGCGCCGTGAGTGCGTGAGCACGACGCCGTGCGTCCTCTTCCCGCTCATGTCGGTGAAGACGAGGTAGTGGAAGGAGGCTTCCTCCTCCTCACTCTGCACGCGGAGGCCCTCTGCAAGTTTGGGGTTCGTTTTCACATTTTTAGGGAGCATCTTATAACGCGGAGAATACGGTACGACGCACACGTTAATGTTCTCTGGGTCTTTTGGTAAAGTCACGTAGATGGGTTCAAAGAAAATAACAAAAAATAACAAAAAAATAACAAAAAATTACGACGTTTCGATCGCAACACAAGCGTTCGTCATCAGGAAGAGGGGGTTAGCTTCTAAAGGTAAACTGTTTATAAAGGTTTGAAATGGGCGTAGCCCAAACGTCAGCAGTCAATGTTAATGTAAGTGGTGGGCAGCGACCGCGACGGTGGTGGGGACTTTACCGAAAGACTAAAAAAATAATTCCTGCAGTCACGAAAGCTTTAAGTCAAGTACATATTAATGTTGGCGATGATCATGAAAAATGATCCAAAATTGTGTACAGCCGCACTAGCAACACCACCGCAAGCGAGCGAGTGACTGAGTGACCGAGCGAGTGACCGAGCGAGTGACCGAACGAGTGACTGAGCGAGTGAGCGAGTGAGCGAGTGACTGAGCGAGTGAGTGAGTGACTGAGCGAGTGACCGAGTGAGCGAGTGACCGAGTGAGCGAGTGAGCGAGCGACCGAGCGAGTGACCGAGCGAGTGACTGAGCGAGTGACTGAGCGAGTGACCGAGCAAGTGACTGAGCGAGTGACTGAGTGAGCGAGTGACTGAGCGAGTGACCGAGTGAGCGAGTGACTGAGCGAGTGACCGAGTGAGTGAGTGACTGAGCGAGTGACCGAGTGACCGAGCCACTGAGCGAGCGAGTGACCGAGCGAGCGAGTGACTGAGCGAGCGACTGAGCGACTGAGCGAGCGAGTGACTGAGCGAGTGACTGAGCGAGTGACCGAGCAACTGAGCGAGCGAGTGACTGAGTGAGTGACCGAGCGAGCGACTGAGCGACTGAGCGAGCGAGTGACTGAGCGACTGACCAAGCGAGTGACCGAGCGAGTGACCGAGGGAGCGAGCGACCAACCTGGGAAGCAGAGCGAGGGGAGGCCGTTGAAGTCGAGCTCGCGGGGCACGCTGACCGGCTGGGTGTGGCTCGCGCCGCCGCCACCCCCGTGCCCGCCCGCCTCGGGCCCTCCGCCCGACATCGACAGGCGGCTGCTCTTGGGCTTGCGGAACGAGCGGCGCTTCTGGGACCTGCGACACGCACGGGGGGTGGCAGGAGGTACGAGACGAGGGAGAATGACGCACGCACGAAGCGGTGACCAACACGGCAAACAACAACAACAACGACGACAAAGACGATATCAACGATGACAGTGGCACGATTCACCATCCACTCCTGGGCGAGATCGCGTAAGGAGCACGATGACGTGCGTCGTGCCCGCTCCTTCACCCGACAGAGCCGGCTCGTGAAGTTGTCACGTGGAGAAAAGTGCCGACGTATCACTGCTCCGACAGCATCGCCGGCAGTGTTGGGGAGCAATCCACAGCATTTAATTAGCTTGGGTAACCACCCTTGTCCCCCCCCCCCCCCCCCGCTATGTTAGTTATCTTTTCCCCTTTCCCCTGAAAACTTTCATGTCCCCCCGTGAGTGGTCCCAACTGGGTGGGGCAGTGAGCCCTATTCTCCCAACTTCATTAATTTCTGCCGCGCCGAACTCGGTCTGCTGCTGCCGTTCACCGAAATGTTGTGCACCCCCCCTCCCCTCCGTTCTGTGATCGGCGCTTTGTACCGGGGTCTCGCGTTGAGTTGTAATACAAAAAAAAAACTATTGGAAATAAAAAACTGGGAACCCCAATCGGCAACGTTTGCTTCACGTGACGACTTTATTCACTGGCTGTGTCGGGTTGGAGGAGGGTGGTAGCGGGTTTTAACGACACATTTATATATTTACGCGATCTAACCCCCCCCCAAAAAAAACCCTCTATTATGGATGATATTGATCTCGAAAGCCTACGTGTTAAACTGGAGGAGGGTGCATGACACACATTTTAATTATTACGTGATCTCCCCCAACCATTAATTACGAATCCTAATATCGGTTATTGAAAGCCTGCGTGTTAAGTTTAACAACAACAACAACACGTGATTGTGAACGGGTGGAGTGATCGCGGGAAGCCCTTAAACACACCAAATAAGAACCTAAAAACCCATTCCTTCTGATACCGGCATTCAGGATCAATATTAATCAATTCATCAATGTGTCGTTCTACCGCTAGCACTGCCACATCAGCGACAAAGTCCTGACACAGAGGACGGTGCTATTTCTCTACTTAACATCACAGGGAAATGTGTGGCTTTGCCCCAACGCTACGGGGCTGCCCCCCCTGCCCGACACCACGTGTCCAAACTTAGCCACGTGTCCAAACTTAGCCACGTGCGGTGGCGCACGCAGCGGTGGTGGCTACGGTGCACGTGTCTGCCTATGACGTAGCGCTGTAGAGGCAGCGAGGGTTGGTGGATGACAGCGAGAATGCTGGGATACCCCCTTCATGCGAGTGTCGAGGGTGACATGCCCTGGCTCGCCAGGAGAGGGCGGTACAGCTATAGCAAGTGCGGACTAATCTCCACATGTTTTCTATCTGTACTAGGATAATGAATAAAAACTACATTTTATTTTACCAGGTAAGGCTCACTGAGCTATAAAACTCTTTGTCAGAAGCGACAATTGATGGCCCAATGAAGTGGGTTATCATGTGGAAATTTATAGCAGCCCAATACTCTAAATGCACGTTGATTCTAAATGTGGAGGGAAAAACCAGAGGGCCCAGACAAAAATCCACACAACCACTGGGAGACACACAGGCAAACTCCAAATATACAACAGGCGTCAGGGTTGGGAGCGAACCCACGACCTCCTGTATACCAGGCGAGGTAGTTAACATCTCCTAGCCACCGTGATGATGATGAGAGAGAGAGACACGCAAACTCCAAATATACAGAAGGAGTCAAGGGTCGGGAGCGAACCCACGACCTCCTGTACACCAGGCGAGGTAGTTCAAATATCCTACCTACCATGATGATGATGAAAGAGGGAGACATGCAAACTCTAAATATACAACAGGCGTCAGGGTCAGGATCGAACCCACGACCTCCTGTACACCAGGCGAGGTAGTTAACATCTCGCCACCACGGATATTCAAATATGCTCAAAATGTCCCCCCCAATATCTTGCTATAAAATAGATTTCTGTTTATATGATTGTGGTTATGGTTGTACTATATTTCTCCCTAAGCTCTGCCATTACATACAATGAAACAAGAAATGGTAAAAAAGAAAAAACAGAGCAATTTAATACTATACACTATTAGACATTATTGTGATAAGATCAATAAAAAGTCCATCCTATGTGTTAGTGAATTTTTTTATATTTTAGGCAGGAAATTAGTTAAAAAATTTAGATTGTTATTCTGGGGGAGGGGGGGGGACCCCCAAACCCCCTGGAAGATTTGGTCCCCCCCAATGTTGACTCCATGGCTACGGCCTTGTAGTAAACACTTATCATGCATTGGCTGAGAACATCTTTAGCATAAAACCCATTTTGGCACAACCCTCCTTCCTTCAGGACACTTTCCTCATTCTCTGCTATGTTTACGTTTTGTGTCTTTGTATTGTTCCTACTGCTGCTGCTGTGCCCATGCATAATAGCCAGGTGACGGGCTAAACGGGACCATCCGTGTAACAAATTTCGATAAAAAAAACTCAAACACCTCCTGACAAACACACCGTGACTTTTCGTGTAAAAATAAAAGTCACACATTGCCGTCGCGTGCCATTGCGATCGCTCCGCTGTTACGAATCGTCAGCTTTTTCCCCCGAGGCTTTTCGCGAATGAGTGCGGAGCGCAGGGTGCAAGGGTCACGGGGCCGGGGAGCTGGCCGTTTGACAACAAACAGCTGCCACATTCCTAAGTGGTGCCAATCAAAAGTTTGATTGCACACTCAAAGTGACCAGGAGTTGCTTGTTTAAAAATAAAAAAACCCCGGCAAGCAAATTGTTTTTATTGTGTATCGGTAGACTTAAGCTCACACTTGAAATGTACAGGGCAGCTTGTTTTGTTTAACACGTGACAGAAGGGTTTACTGGCCACGCGATTGTTAGGTTTTTGGAAACGATCTGCAAACTTGTAATTTGCGCGGTTACATGGACACACAATGGGGCACTGTTACCGTCGATGTAAATTAAATTGTTAATGCATTAGCTTTGTCTGTCCGTCTGTCACTGACGATTATCTGAACCGGACCTGGGCCTTCCCTAGGGTTACTCAGCCTTAAATGAGTACCTGGTGCAGTGTGTAAACATCAGCAATGGGACGACGCAGAGGCGGCCTGGCGTGGTGCTTTCAGTTTTTGAGTTTCATTTATTAGGTATAGCCCTGTGAGCCATTCAGCTCTTGAATCAGGTGCAACCACAACAAACAAAAAACAAAAACATGAACAAGAAAACATCTTAAAGTGACTATGTGATGGCCACCCATGCCCTCATTGTGCCGTGCTGACCTTAATAGGTGCTCGCTAACAGCACTTGCCCCAACAGTCTGTAAAAAGCTATCTGGTGGGATCTTTGTATTCTATCAGTTATTAGAAGCACCAGTGGTAGATTCAATATTTGTCTTCAGTGTTATTGTACCAGTCGTGAGCCAGCCATGAGTGTCATTGTGTTGCTAGCACCAGTGGGAGATCAGTCCTGCGTTTGCGTTTGTATGAATGTGTATATTTTGAACTTCTTTCACACAGTACGTAGCCGACCGTGCTAATTGGACGTGCGGGAGAAGGACAACAAACTAAAAATACAAATCCGTTCTAAAGAAATTAGTTTTCAACATAGATTTAAAAGTGCACAGTTCCAGTGGCTTCCTAATTTCGGAAGGCAGAGCATTCCAGACGGCCGCAGAAGCACGCCGGAAAGCGCGCAGTGCGGCCACCGTCTTTGTCCGATGGCCAGCCAAAAGCCGCTGCGAGGATGAGCAGAGATCGTGCGACGGTTCACGCTCCTCGATGAGATCAGCAAGGTACCGTGGTTCATGTGCGGCAAGCACTTTGTGTGCAACGAGCGCGGCCTCACGACGCAATCGTTGGGCTAAAACCGAAAGCCATGACGCGGCTCGGCGAGCACTGGATGGACACGCGGTCGGATCTTGCCGAAAACGCGCCGCGACGCGTTTTGCGAGCGCACGCACGCACGCACCTCGTGAAGCCGGCGCTCCGCTGCAAGGGCGGTGCCGTCGCCAGCCGGGGCGCCGCCGCCTCCTTGGCGACGAAGGGCGGAGCGAGGATGTTGAGGATGACCGGCTCCGGGTGCTGCCGCAGGGCCGAGTTGCCGCCAGCCGCCGCCTGCGTCAGTCACGCGCGCGCGCGGGGCAAAACATTCAGAGGCGAAGACTTTTAAACTATATATTTTTTCAAGCAAATTTTTTTTATTTGACCAGGTAAGACCCCACTGAGCTACGTAGTTCTTTTTCAGAAGCGACCAGGCCACAAATGAAGCTCAATGAAGTGGCTTATCACGTGGGCATTTATAGCAGCCAAATACGCGAAACGCGTGATGTTGTTTCTAAATGCGGAGGGAAAAAAACCGGAGGACCCGCAGAAAAATCCACGCGACCACGGGGAGAACATGCAAACTCCAAATATACAGCAGGACATCAGGGTCGGGGTCAAACCCATGCCCTCCTGTATACCAGGCGAGGTAGTTAACAGTTTGTCACCGTGGTGCCTTTCGTAGTCGAGTCGTCGTCGTTTTTGATCTCGATCGATGATTGTGAGGGGCGGGGGGGGGTGCGGACAGTCATCGTCAAGCGTGACGACGACTCCTCATTGGCTGACCCCGGTGCCGCTGTGCATTCTGCATTCAAATGGCTAAAACTCGCAACAATAACCGACCACTGACGAGTCCATATCTTGGTCATGCACACGTAAATAAACTATCGGTGTATGAGTACAAATATTTTGGTTTGAAATTCCAGACCGAATGTTTTGTTGATAAAGTACAAACTCTGAACTGGTTTTGAGTTATCAGAGCCTCATCAGTAGTCAGGCCCACCAAAACTAAAACTGCTGCGTTGCCCGTTATAAGCAAAAGGATATTTGCACCCGTTGAGTTCGGCATGGTGGCGAGATGTTGACTACCTCTCCCGGTACACAGGAGGTCGTGGGTTTGATCGCATGTATATTTGGAATTTGAATGTTCACCCCGTGGTCGCGTGGAATTGTTCTCTGGGTCCTCCGGCTGTTCCCTCCACATTCAGCATCAACATGCGTTTTAGACTCTTTGGCTGCTAAAGATTTCCATGAGATGATAAGCCACTTCGCTGAGCTTTCATTTGTGATAGCGAGGTCAATTTAAAGCTTTCGTGACTGCAGGGATTCATCTTCTTGGTTCTTTCGGTAAAGTCACGTAGAAGGGAAGTAATAAAAATAAAACGAAACGTCGTGAGAATTATTTTATTATGTTTATTTTAATTATTTTATTACTTCCCTTCTACGTGACTTTACCGAAAGAACCAAGAAGATAGCAAGGTCACTTCTAAAATAGAGCTATATATAGCTCAGTGGGCCTTACCTGGTAAAAAAAAAACATTTGAAATAGTTGTCATTATAAATAAATAAATGAAGGTGGCTTTTTATCCCCCCCCCCCTCTACCTGGTCCTAAACAAAGAAAAGATGGCTTCCTCTGGGTTTTCACAGAGCGCAAGGAATGTGACTGGGCAGGTAAATCTAGAATCATACACAATGGGGGGTCTCTCTCTGGCTTTCTCTCGAAAGCCAAACAAACAGTCATGGCATTGGTCAAACATCCCAATGCAGGCCCCCCCCCCCCCCCGCTCTTCAATCAATCAAAGATTTTTAAGGCGGCCGTATTCGCTAAAAAGATTAGATGGAAGCATGGATGGTGCAGAGAAAATGCTGCTAAATAAAACGAGACAAAATAGAAAATAAATAATTTTAGTCCGGCCATACCATCGATTGTCATGGCTGAACGGACTTCACTTGGCAGAGATTGTTTCAGGCCACCAGGGCTACAGATGAGAAGCTGCGTTCTGCTGTAATAAGCCGGAGTGGGATCTCAGAGTCGAGTGCAAAGTACAGGGTCAATGGGCTCGCACAACGAGAATGCATAATGTACGTTGATTCATTAACCCACCGCCGCCCCCACTTGGCGCAAGAAAAACGCACAAGTGTTGGCATTGCACCTACGCCTCTCTCTAAGGAACGAAACAGGTGGACTTCTCCACAAATCTGTCTGTCCGCCTGATGAGGCTTAGTTGTAATTACTGGCGAAACGTCGTACTCAGATAATAAATGTTGTTGCTTGGCTCTCCAACACACTATACTCGTAACGAATCGGCACGTTCTGTTTACGTGACAAAGCTTACTAATTGGCTGTGTCGGGTGGTGGTGGGTTTAACTACACATTTATATATCTACGCGATCTAACTATGTAGGTGTGTGTGCACGTACGTACGCGTGTGTACGTGCGCGTGTGTATGTACGTACGTGTGTGTACGTAGGCGCGTTATGGATGTACGTACGTGTATATACGTACGTGTGTACGTAGGTGCGTGTGTGTATGTACGTAGGCGTGTGTACGTACGTAGGTGTGTGTATGTACGCAAATGTGTGTATGGTCTCGCTTCTAATCGGGAGGCGATGAACACGTGTGTGGGGATGCATCATCGGCGTTCGATGCAGTGTGCCACGATCACGTGACAAAGTCAACCCCTCCCCTGTTCACTGACACGGGCCCAGCCAGCCCCCCCCCCCCAAACCACTACCGACCCTCACCTGGGCACGCAGGCACTCACTGACCTGGGCACGCAGGCACTGACCTGGGCACGCAGGCACTGACCTGGGCACGCAGGCACTCACTGACCTGGGCACGCAGGCACTGACCTGGGCACGCAGGCACTCACTGACCTGGGCACGCAGGCACTGACCTGGGCACGCAGGCACTGACCTGGGCACGCAGGCACTCACTGACCTGGGCACGCAGGCACTGACCTGGGCACGCAGGCACTCACTGACCTGGGCACGCAGGCACTCACTGACCTGGGCACGCAGGCACTGACCTGGGCACGCAGGCACTGACCTGGGCACGCAGGCACTCACTGACCTGGGCACGCAGGCACTGACCTGGGCACGCAGGCACTCACTGACCTGGGCACGCAGGCACTGACCTGGGCACGCAGGCACTCACTGACCTGGGCACGCAGGCACTGACCTGGGCACGCAGGCACTGACCTGGGCACGCAGGCACTCACTGACCTGGACACGCAGGCACTCACTGACCTGGGCACGCAGGCACTCACTGACCTGGGCACGCAGGCACTCACTGACCTGGACACGCAGGCACTCACTGACCTGGGCACGCAGGCACTCACTGACCTGGGCACGCAGGCACTCACTGACCTGGGCACGCAGGCACTCACTGACCCGGGCACGCAGGCACTCACTGCCCTGGGCACGCTGGCACTCACTGACCTGGGCACGCAGGCACTCACTGCCCTGGGCACGCAGGCACTCACTGACCTGGGCACGCAGGCACTCACTGACCCGGGCACGCAGGCACTCACTGCCCTGGGCACGCTGGCACTCACTGACCTGGGCACGCAGGCACTCACTGCCCTGGGCACGCTGGCACTCACTGACCTGGGCACGCTGGCACTCACTGCCCTGGGCACGCTGGCACTCACTGCCCTGGGCACGCTGGCACTCACTGACCTGGGCACGCAGGCACTCACTGCCCTGGGCACGCTGGCACTCACTGACCTGGGCACGCAGGCACTGTGAGAGCGAGTCTTCGCTGGCCCCCACCACCACGAGGGCCTCCAGGAGACCGCAGGGGAAGACGTCCGCCATGGGGGCAAGCGGCGCGACGCCTCCGGCCTAGCGGCACGTGCACACAGAAGACAAAGGGCCCCCCCCCCCCCAGTGTAGACTTTAACAGACTGTTGGAGGGCAAGTGCTGTGAGCGAGCAACTACAGAGGCTGCTGGGGGGGTGGGGGGCAACACGGCGCGCAGCCACCTTTGTTTGCCCATTGCTGATGCTTTACGCACCGTGCCGCGTACTCATCGAGTCGACCTCGGGGAGGCACAGGGTCGGGTTCAGACATTCGTCACACGGGAATCGAACTCGGGACACCGGGTTCGCAGCGCAGCGCGCTAAACGCTGTACACACAACGCGCACACGCCACACACAACGCGCACACACACGTGCATACACAACACACGTGCACACACAACACACGTGCACACACAACACACGCGCACACACAACACACACACGCGCACACACGTGCACACACAACACGTGCACACACAACACACGCGCACACACAACACACACACGCGCACACACACACACGCGCACACACAACACACACACACGCCACACACAACACGCACACAACGCGCACACACAACACACACACGTGCACACACAACACACACACGTGCACACAACACACACGCGCACACAACACACACGTGCACACACAACACACACACGTGCACACACGTGCACACACAACACGTGCACACACAACACACACACACAACACACACATGCACACACACACGTGCACACAACACACACAACACACGTGCACACACAACACACACACGTGCACACACAACACACACAACACACACACGCGCACACACAACACACACACGTGCACACACAACACACACAACACACACACATGCACCACACACAACACACGCGCGCACACACACACACCACGCACACACAACACACACACAACACACACGTGCACACACAACACACACATGCACCACACACAACACACGCGCGCACACACACACACCACGCACACACAACACACACACGACACACACGTGCACACACAACACACACACATGCACCACACACAACACACGCGCGCACACGCACACACACGCACACACAACACACACGTGCATGGACAACTTCGTCAAAGGGTCGACCTAAACCTTGAGACACAATCCAGAGCAAAGTTGGGGGGTGGGGGACAATTTGCAAACACACAACTGCGGTGGAAGATCTGCACAGTCAGCTTCCGTGCTGCGAACAGAACACTTCCGAAGACAAATCGCACGTGAGCATGCGGTACAGGAGTCATGCACATGCGTGAAGGAGCTGAAGGATGTGATTGGGCAGGTGGTGGGAGTGAGAGGGAATGAGGTGAAGGAGGTGATTGGGCAGGTGCTGGGAGTGAGAGGGAATGAGCTGAAGGAGCTGATTGGGCAGGTGGTGGGAGTGAGAGGGAATGAGTTGAAGGAGCTGGTTGGGCAGGTGGTGGGAGTGAGAGGGAATGAGGTGAAGGAGGTGATTGGGCAGGTGCTGGGAGTGAGAGGGAATGAGCTGAAGGAGCTGATTGGGCAGGTGGTGGGAGTGAGAGGGAATGAGTTGAAGGAGCTGGTTGGGCAGGTGGTGGGAGTGAGAGGGAATGAGTTGAAGGAGCTGGTTGGGCAGGTGGTGGGAGTGAGAGGGAATGAGCTGAAGGAGCTGATTGGGCAGGTGGTGGGAGTGAGAGGGAATGAGGTGAAGGAGATGATTGGGCAGGTGCTGGGAGTGAGAGGGAATGAACTGAAGGAGCTGATTGGGCAGGTGGTGGGAGTGAGGGGGAATGAACTAAAGGAGCTGGTTGGGCAGGTGGTGGGAGTGAGGGGGAATGAGGTGCTCGAGGGAAGATCGTGTCGTGAGAGAAGGCCGAGAGGAAGAAAAAGAGGGGACGATGCTGGAGACGACATCCAACGAGGCAGGGTGTGCGGGGAGTTGGAGAGAAGCGAAGTGGTGGAGAGAACCCTGCCTTGGAAGCCGTCTCCGGACAGAACCCCCGGGGATAGACTCCGCGGCACAGAAACGCGTGGCCCGGTGGGAACGCGACGCAAGTTTGGAGCGCGTGGCGTGAACACAGGAGGCCGGGGAGCTCCGATGTTCGGCGCGTGGTGGGGGGGGGTCTCTGTGGGGGGAGGGGTCTGTGTGGGGGGGGTGTCTCTGTGGGGGGGGGGGGTGTCTCTGTGGGGGGGGGGGGGTGTCTCTGTGGGGGGGGGGGGTCTGTGTGGGGGGGGGTCTGTGGGGTGGGGAGTCTGTGGGGTGGGGGGGGTCTGTGGGGTGGGGGGCTCTGTGGGGTGGGGGGGGTCTGTGGGGTGGGGGGGGGTCTGTGTGGGGGGGGGGAGTCTGTAGGGTGGGGGCTGTCTGTGGGGGTCTGTAGGGTGGGGGGGGGTCTGTGGGGTGGGGGGGGGGGTCTGTGGGGTGGGGGGGGTCTGTGTGGGGGGGGGAGGTCTGTGTGGGGGGGGGGAGGTCTGTGTGTGGGGGGGGGAGGTCTGTGTGTGGGGGGGGGGAGGTCTGTGTGTGGGGGGGGGGAGGTCTGTGTGTGGGGGGGGGGAGGTCTGTGTGGGGGGGGGAGGTCTGTGTGTGTGGGGGGGGGGGTCTGTGTGGGGGGGGGGTCTGTGGGGGGGGCTCTGTGGGGGGGGCTCTGTGGGGGGGGCTCTGTGGGGGGGGGGATCTCTGTGGGGGGGGATCTCTGTGGGGGGATCTCTGTGGGGGGCTGGGTCTCTGTGGGGGGCTGGGTCTCTGTGGGCGTGCACGTCACCGCTGAGCCACGCTGCGTCACCTGAGTTCGTGTTCCACGCATCACACCAACTTCGTCAACGGCTTCCTTATGAGCGCTCGCGCAGCCGTTGCGTGGTGCACTTATTAACCATCCCTCGCTCCCGAGAGCCAACGTCAACAACTGTACAGGCAGTCAATGGCCTCAGTGTGGGTTTTCTGACCCATGGAAACATTCGGCAGTTGGTATGAGTTACACGACACCAAATGTAGAAGTTACGAATTTTGTAAAAATTACTCGGAACATTTTCCTCCCTTCTGTCAATCCGCTGCGTGCCGTGTCGGTAACGAGGCTTGTTTGACCATACTTCACCACGTTGGTCGTTTGGTGAAGGTGGTGGTGTGAGTGGATGGGGGGGGTAACGGACAAGACCAGCTCACAAATATCGCTGAGCGCTGGATGTTAGTTAGCTCTGGCCAGGAATACAACTTGGGCTCGTTTCGCTCATATTTATCTGCATCCGGACTTTGCATCCTCCTTTTCGGACTTTTTCAATCACTTTCCGCGGCTCAAAAAGCCATTGACCACGATGATGCCGTCAGCAGATCTGCCACGATCGCCACTTTTGCCATTCGTACTCATGACCTGTATCTCTCCGTTTGCAAACGTTTGGAAAATATCTGTGAATGCCGCAAAGGTCTATGGGAACAGAATTAAGGAAATGTAGGGTAGGCCAGCCAACCAAACACAGGAGGGGAATCTCTACCATCTCTGGAAACTACGAACACTATCAAATGCCATTATGCTGCGCCTTTTGCAGGTTTGCAAAGGCAAATGACTCATTGGAATTTGACTCGGGTCACCCATTTAGGCACTCACGATCCTAGGCCTGAATAAATACAATCAATAACAGAGGCAGAAATAATGATGAAAACAAAATTGGCAACAGCCACACCGAGATGACATGGGGAGACAGTACCATGGTGTATATTGGCGCGGGGAAACGTTGGACCACGATGCTGGCACACAGTGGCCTACTCTTAAAAATTAACCCGTAAAAACAAAGTTTTTCACTATAAATCCTTTATATGCGTGGCATCGGGGCGGCTAGAGTCCTCTCGTCCTCTGGCTTGAGATGGCTGCCACCTATGGGTCAGATGATTGTCTGCCAGTATTAAGCAATTGGTAATTTAATAATTATTTGGTTTTCCCTAAACAGTGTAAAATTTTGGGGGAAAAAATTCACGAAAATGCATTGTCACGCACAACGAGTCTGTGTGCAAAATGTCAGCTCGATTGGATCACGGGAAGTGGGTTAAAAAACGACCGAAAGATTTGCACGGTCCTAAGCAAGCAAGTGAACTTAATATAAAGGATTTAAAAAATGACACCACGTGACCTTTAACGTCCGCTTGCGTAGCGGGCGGCGTGCGATATTTTGACCGCAGCGTTAACCGGGGGGCAGGGGGGGCAGGGGGGGCGGGGGGGGTGGTGAATACGAACCGCAAACCTCTGCAGCAAGCTGGAACAAAACGCGTGACCGCCCGACCACGTCGCCGCCATTCTGAGGTCAGAGTCAAGACGTGCCACGGTTCGAACCTGACTAAACGGCCAGAAACAGCCGCAGCGTCCCGCACCACGTGATGAAGCTCGCTGTAATTACTGCCGAAACGTCGTACACAGATTGTAACTGTTGTGGCTTGGCTCTCTAACACACTGGTGTTGCTGTACTAGTACACTACACTATACACTACACGCTAGTGCTGTACTAGTGACGAACTGGCACGTTCTGTTTACGTGACGACCCTTACAAGTTGGCTGTGTCGGGTGGTGGTGGTTTAACGACACATTTATATATTTACACGATCTAACCCAAAGAAACAACCTTGTATTATGGATGATATTGGTCGCGAAAGCCTCACGTGTTAAACTGTTTTGTTATGAAGATGCAATCTCAGACCTCGTCTGACCCCAGAGCACACAAATTTGAACCGTAGACGTTGGGCAGCAGCTGGACACTGGGGTACGAGGTGTGATTTTGGCTTCACCACGTGTTCAGGACTCCACAGAACATTCCTCTCGAGGCACGTCAACAACATCGTAAGGTACACGTGGCTGCCCATGCAACGCTGTCACCAAGGCGCTCTGTTTCACGCATGATTTACACCCTCCAAAAGTTTCGCAATCGGGGGCAACGTTACTTTGTGGTTTAAGCTAAATTTGCAACTACGACCAATAAAATATGTTGGACTGTGACACCGGGACACTTGGCATACTCATCTTTGAATAACGTCAGAGAAAATCTCTAAAGATCACTCGGAAGCAGACGCAGAGTGTTCTGGCCTTAATAGACCCACAGCATTAACCAGGGTGTCGGCTGTGCAGGAACTGCGAATCTCTGCAATAAGCAGCCTGTTAGTTTGAAGCATTAGTTTAAACAGCTGAAAAACCATCTCGCCCATGCTGTCCCTAGGCGCCTGTCATCCTTGGCTGGATTCCATCAGCTACTCTCAACTCCCTCCACTGGCTTCCCATCGCCAGGAGGGTTGGCTACAAAGTCACCTGCTGCCTGTGGCACCACACCTTTACCTTTGGTTGTCCAATGTACTACAGCTCCTGTCCCAACTTCACTACAGCTCCAATCCTCCTGCACTACAGCTCCTGTTACCCTGCACTACAGCTCCTGTCACCCTGCACTACAGCCCCTGTCACCCTGCACCACAGCTCCTGTCACCCTGCACCACAGCTGCTGTCACCCTGCACTACAGCTCCTGTCACCCTGCACTACAGCTCCTGTCACCCTGCACTACAGCCCCTGTCACCCTGCACCACAGCTGCTGTCACCCTGCACTACAGCTCCTGTCACCCTGCACTACAGCTCCTGTCACCCTGCACTACAGCCCCTGTCACCCTGCACTACAGCTCCTGTCACCCTGCACTACAGCCCCTGTCACCCTGCACCACAGCTCCTGTCACCCTGCACCACAGCTGCTGTCACCCTGCACTACAGCTCCTGTCACCCTGCACTACAGCTCCTGTCACCTGCACCACAGCTCCTGTCCCCCTGCACTACAACACCTGTCACCCTGCACTACAGCTCCTGTCCCAACTTCACTACAGTTCCAATCCTCCTGCACTACAGCTCCTGTTACCCTGCGCTACAGCTCCTGTCACCCTGCACTACAGCCCCTGTCCCCCTGCACTACAGCTCCTGTCACCCTGCACCACAGCTTCTGTCACCTGCACCACAGCTCCTGTCCCCCTGCACTACAACACCTGTCACCCTGCACCACAGCTCCTGTCACCCTGCACTACAGCTCCTGTCACCCTGCACTACAGCTCCTGTCTCCCTGCACCACAGCTCCTGTCACCCTGCACCACAGCTCCTGTCACCCTGCACCACAGCTCCTGTCTCCCTGCACCACAGCTCCAGTCCACAATCACGGATAACAATTTTTACAATCGCGGACAACCGCGCGGATAACAGGATCCGTGATACCGGTCCTCCCGTATCACCACGGATTAGAGGCGTGCTCCCATATACAGTTTAGAGAAAACCGGTCCAGAGCTGCTTGGATTATACCAGCTCTGCTGAACAGATATACTGCAAGCAGGCCATGCTGCCACGCAGGAATTTGTAAAAAAAAAATACGTGCTTTGATCTTCCACTTGGAGTGACAAACGTGGGAAGGCAGAGACAACGTTGTGCCAAGCTAAAATATCTGGATTTTACTGCCAGTTTTAGAGATTTTTATTTTTTCCAACGGACCACGCCTGCCAAGTGCCCCGATGCCATGGCGCAGAAATGCCCAGGGTTCGTCTGGCTGACACGCCGTCGCTTGCGTGAGCACAAACAACACAACACAGCCGCTGTAACGCTTCACCGCTGGCAAGCCCGTCCATTGCGTTACTAGGTGACACGAGTGTGTGTCTTCTCTGTTCGGGGTGGGGTGGTGGGAGCGGGCATGAATGCAAAATCATTTTCGTGGTGGTGTTATTATTGTCTTGGACGACTTTGTGCTTGCGGTAAAACTAGGAAACTGCGTGGTGCGGTTTTCTGCTAAAGCGGTTTTGTCAACTGTACAGGCGCGCGGTGTAACGGAGGATTGGAAATTTCTGACACGGGCGAAAACGACAACGAGTCGCAGTCCTTAGTAGCAACGAATTGACTTTCATTCAATCGATGCCTCGGCAAATAGTGAGTTGGTATTTTTTGGTCAAAATTTTTACAAATGTGCTGAATGCGTTTCTGTATTTGTGCAGAGTGTGCATAGAGGCATCACGCATTATTAAATGTAACATTTTTAACACAGCAGTTTGAGATAAATAGATAGCATGCGTACTACGTAACAATGGCTTGCGTACTGCGTAACAATGGCTTGCGTACTGCCTAACAATGGTTTGCATACTGCGTAACAATGCCTTGCGTACTGCGTAACAATGGTTTGCGTACTGCCTAACAATGGTTTGCGTACTGCCTAACAATGGTTTGCGTACTGCCTAACAATGATTCGCGTACTGCCTAACAATGGTTTGCGCGTTGCGCAACGAACCTGGCCATAATTTTCCCGTCCATGGCTCGCAGTCGGTGGCCGGGTGACACCTGAACTGGCGCTGTTCCTGGCCCCGACATTCGCCAACCCACTCTGGCCAGCGTAGCGAAGTACAGTGGAGCGTAAGTGTTTGTTTTGCCTTCTCCTCTCTGTTCTACTTCGCCAATGCTGGCCAGAGTGGATTGGTGAGTGAGTGTGGGGACCAGGACCCACAGCGCCAGGTCAGATGTCACCCGCCTCCGATGTGAGCCCGCGAACCGGCTAACATCGGTGGCTGTTCATGGCAGCAATGGATGGACGAAAGGCAGTGAATTATTAACATCGTTACACGGTACTGTATTTTGACTTAAAACTTTCGTGACTGCAGGAATTCGTATTCTTGGTACTTTCGGTAAAGTCACGTAGATAGAAAAAAATAATTATGAAATAAAATAAAAATTTTTATAAATTTAAAATAATAAAAAAACACATTAAAATTAAATTGAAAATAATATATATTGTTTAAATTTTAAATTAATAATTTATTTGACTATTCAAATTTTACTTTTTTATTGTGTGTTTTTTGCTTTTATTATTTTACATTCATTTATATATATTATATCTACATGACTTTACCGACAGAACCAAGAATACAGTACTGTATATACGCACAATATACTCTAGTACATTGTGAAGAATAAAATCACCATGATGCACACCCATTCCGACAGAGCCGACTTGGGCGAGGTTTTCTCCCGTATGAACATTTCCACCCACGCTGTTGATACAAACCGTTGCAATTTTATTGATCGCGATCTGCAATTTAGCCGCAGAAATATAATTTTCCCCTGGACAAGATACGTCCAGTCCACGCTTACGGAGGCGACGCTACGGACGGCACGAGAAAAGGTTAATCGACGACAAGGCTGCATTGGCAGCGGTGCACAAGCACAATTGACCAAGACAACTCAACAAGAAACGTCACCAACACTGTGGTCTTTTAAGAGATTAAAATTTGTTTCAAATAGGTGACATTTACGTGCCCTTATTTATTGCACGTGAAACTAATGTGCTTGGAATGGACGGTACAAATTGAAAGGTTACGTTTGTTTCATAAAAAAAAAACAATACAAATATGTTCCCGTTCAAAAATATTGCTTTTGCATACGAAACTTTGAGTCACAGTTCTTCGAATGCCATGACGAACGTTTGACGTGAACGCAACGAGCGGGTGAAAATTAGTGGCGTTTTATAAAACGCGAAAACATCTGAGAAAAGAATCGCCACATGGCTGAATTGATACACGGAGAGGAACGGGGGCGACGCTTCAGCTGCTGCCGTGAAACCAAGGCAAGCGTGCTGCTCACGATTTGGGTAAAAGTTTGGGACTCATGGCCTCTTCCATCCCACGTGACCTGCACGGGTAAAAGCTAGGGCAGCAATGATTCACTCCACCGTACTCCCCAACAAACGATTCTCCGAACTGCCGAAATTATTACCGTATTCTCAGAATTTTAAGAGGCTGCAGAAAGTAAGATTCAAACCCATAATTGTGCCCGGGTGTCAATAAAGTTATCAAGATCTGGTCGCACACAAACACCTACTGGAATATAAGGGGCACCCACCCAACTCTGAATAAAAACAACTGTAGAAAAAATGCATCGTATAATCCTGAGAATGTGGGATTAGGTTTATTTTCACGAACTACATGCTAAGACGGTTCCTAAAAAAGCATCGTAAAACTGTCAATGTGTGTTTCTTACATTCATCAGCTCTGCGGGCAAGTTAATGGGTGACACGGCGTGTGGTTGAGTCATTTTCAGTCACACCTTAGGCATAAATTCAACACGACGGTACCAAGTCTGGCTTGAAAATGCCACCCCCAAGGCTTGAGTACAATGCTTATACTGCACACTCTAGCAGTGGGCTGCATTACAGGGCAGGTGCAATTGCCTTCCTCACAAATCTGATATAAAATAATCATCCGCAGCAAATAGTTCAGCACTTTGCCAACTCGTGTACACTCTGGGCCGATGGGCCTATGTGTGAGTCTATGGGTCTCTTTGTGAGGCTATGGGCCTTTGGGTGAGTTTGTTTGTCTTTGTGTGAGTCTGTGTGCCTCTATGTCAGGCTATGAGTTTGTGTGAGTGAGTCTGTGTGAGTCTATAGGTCTCTGTGAGTCCGTGGGCCTCTGTTTGAGGCTATGGGTCTCTTTGTGAGGCTATGGGCCTTTGGGTGAGTGTATTGGTCTTTGTGTGAGTCTATGGGCCTCTATGTCAGGCTATGAGTTTGTGTGAGTGAGTCTGTGTGAGTCTATAGGTCTCTGTGCGAGTCTGTGGGCCTCTGTGTGAGGCTATGGGTCTCTCTGTGTCTATGGGCCTTTGGGTGAGTTTATTGGTCTTTGTGTGAGTCTATGGGTCTCTGTGAGGTCGTGGAGGTGGGCCGGAGTACCCAATCATACGAGGGTTAACACTCAAGAGTGCCGCACAGATAGATTCCAGTATCCATTGCCATACCACCATCTACTTGCCACTCTTGCAGCCCAAGCTTACAAAACTTGGCATTCCAAAGTGGACTTCAATTCCGAGCCCTTATAACCAGGCGGCTCAACCCTGAATAAGCTTCGAGTGCACTGATGGGGTCATTAGGTCACACAGTTTGGAGTTAATACGGTGTGCAGTCTCGCAGCAGAAAAAAGTAAGTTGCGTGTCAATGTTTTGCGCGTAGAAATACAGTGCACAATGCGTTAAGCGAAGTCTTTAACAGAAGCTTGCTGATAGCGATCTCACAAAGAGGAAACCCAAAGGGCTAAAAATATATCCTCTTGTGTTTACTTTTAATCCCTGGGCCAATGCTTCACGCTTGAGCTCTGCCCGGTATCACAATCGACGATGACCTTCGCTATTAACCCAGGAAAGTCTCGATGAATCCGAAGACTTTTTTTTCGGGAAGGCCCTAAATTTAAACGTTTCGGCCGAATCAAATGTGTCTGGCTGCGGTAGTTGCATTCGCGGAGAATGGCGCGTTGTGGAAAAATCGCGTTCGAATGAATAATGTGCAATGCAGGGTGAAGCGCAGTCCGCGATAACACGTGAGATGAGCAGCACGCAGGCTAAAAACAAAGACCGCGGGGGGCTCGTTGGCAGCTTCGAGAAGAATCCAGCAGCATCCCGCCTGGTGCGACGGCTCCGCAGTTCCGTTCCCTCGATCGTGGCATATCCAAATGCCATCCGCGTTATATACATAACTAGCTGTACTACCCGGGACTTGGATCCACCACGCCCGGTCGCCTTTGTCTCCCCAGTGGCGATGTTCACACACACCACACCAGTTACTCGTTTGAGGCTGAGTCGACCAGGACCCGTTGAAATAAACGTCACCGGTGGTGGCCGTGAGCGGGAATTGAACTCGGTTCGCCGGGTTCGTAGCGCAGCGCGCTAACCGCTAATCGACATTGCGTTACGCTTCCACATGCGCGGGTCACGTGACAGATTTGACGTCACAGCTCACTTGCCGTGCAAAAAATATATGCGTTATTGAGCTCCCCCCCTAAAAAAGTGTATTTTTATAATTTTAGCATGGTGTAAAGTCTGGAAAGTACCCACATGGCAAATTTCAAGTTTGTTGCATGTCGGGAAATACGCTAAACATTTTGAACAGACACACATTCACAACTTAGCTTTTTATATATATGGAGACAAACAGAAATGTGTTGCCCATTTCAATCATCGCGTTATATCCAATTCGCGTTGTGAAAACGCGCGTTATAGAAGAGTAGACTGACGTGCCAGGGAAACAACCCACCACGTGCATGATGGGCGGGGGTGGGATGACACTAACAACTCCGCACAGATTGATTCAGGAATCAACCGTTGAGATGCCATATTCTGGCCACCTCGCAACTCCTCTCGGTGAATAGATGTGGCAATTCCTTGCAGGGCATGGCTTTGCGAGATTATGCATGCGTTACATCAAAACCGGTTATTGCAATTCACATTTCAAAGTAAACAACCCAATCTGTGGTCACTTATGCAACGGTATCCCCGGCCAAACTGATCAGCAACTTTTAGGATGCCGAATAAATGCAGTCTTGGCACATGATGGACATTTCACAGTGGCTTGTGGTTCGTTTCAGCGCTTGGTCAAACCACTGCCGGTAGGAAGGGCTCCAGCCGGCGGTGTATGTAGGACACATTGTCGACTGCCACGATTCTTCACGCCACGAGTCAGTGTGACTTGGTGAAAGTGAGGACTTGGGCACTGGGGTCCTCGGACTGATGTGAACCCTGGCTGGGATATTGAACTCAGGTTTGCCAAGGTCCCGTAAGGGGCGTGCGCCAAACACTCGAAGCGCACCGACTGCTATCCCATTTATAAACGAATACAACGCATCAACTCGCTTGCGTTTACTGAAATTACCTTCGGGAAAGTAGCAACAACCAAAGCATCGAATTCAAAGAGCAGCAGAGGATGTGTCACCACGGGTTAATTAACCGTTCCCCAAACAAACGACTTCTTCTGTACGGTAACATCAAAACATCGCTGCAGCCCACCAAACCCACATCTCTCTCTCACTCTGGCACAAACACCCACCTCTCGGGCAAAAACAAACCAGGTGAGGGAGCTCTCACCTGTGCACAGGTGACGGGGCGCAAGGGCAGACACACAGGTGCTGCTTGCTGCTCGGCGGGATGACGGGTCACCTTGTCGCGAGCAAAGGGGTGAGCGCTTCGAATCGTCAAGTCCACTTGGAGCGGCTGTGTGACGATGCGAGTCAGGAGTGCGGCGGCGACGGCGGCGGCGGGGGGCGGAATCCCAAGTGAAGTCTGCCTCCACACCTGTGTGCGCACACCCACCGAACCCGCACAAGAGTGGAGTCCGCGGGGGTTGGACGCGCAGCGCTCTCCAGCAGAGGAGTCGCGGCGGCGCGCGCCTTCCGCGTTCCTCGCGGCGAGAGCCAAGGGGGGGAGGCGAGGGGAGGAGGAGGAGGGGTAGGAGGGATGAAGGAGGGAGGGGCGAGAGGAGGGATGGAGGAGGGGAGGAGGAGGGAGGGGTAGGAGGAAGGATGGAGGAGGAGGAGGGAGGGGCAGGAGGGATGGAGGAGAAGGATGGAGGCGGGAAGAAGGATTGAGGAGGAGGGAGGGGTAGGAGGAGGAGGGATGGGCAGGAGGGATGAAGGAGGGAGGAAAGGAGGACGGATGGTGGAGGAGGAGGAGTTCAGTGGAAGTTCATTCAGGGGGCTGCCTTTGGAACCCATTGGCCGAGGGCGAAGCTGTTACGTGAGCCGTCAACCTGCATAGAAATTCAGCTATTAACATAGAAACTCAGCTGCTAATATAGATACTCAGCTACTAAATAGGTAACTCATCAAATAATCATCAAATAATAATTTTTTCTTGGTTCTTTCGGTAAAGTCACGTAGAAGGGAAACAATCAATATAATTGTATTGTTTCCCTTCTACGTGAATATGAATCCCTGCAGTCACGAAAGCTTTAAATAAAAAAGTAACACGTTGTTTAAATGCATGCCTGCCTATGCAGGTCACCATACTTCAATAAGGATAACCGTTGGTTACGGCTATTTTTGGTGCACGCAATCGACAGGAGGTACAAGAACGATGTGCTTGCATAATGCACGTTGAGTCGCATGTAAATAACCCAAACGGCAATCGGATCCACATAGTCATTATTAGGCATTCATTAACCCCCCACCTCCCCCCAATTCGTGCAAGAAGGGCACACATCTACGCCTCTATTTAAGGCACGAAACGGGAGGATTTCTCCACTAATCTGGCTGTTCCGCCTGATGAAGCTGGTTGTAATTACTGGCGAAACGTCGTGCTCAGATTATAAATGTTTTGGGTTTTGCTCTCCAACACACCGGTTAGTGCTGTACTAGTGACGAATTGGCCACGTTTTGTTTACGTGACAACCCTTACGAATTGGCTGTGTCGGGTGGTTGCGGGTTTCACGACATTACGTGATCTAACATTAAAAAAAACCTCTTATGGATGGCATATCTCTGTTGATGGTTGCAGATAGCGCCCCTTGCTGGTTTGAGCCGGGGAAGCCGTCGAACATTTGTATACAGCTTTTTGAAACATATATTAGCACTATTTACAGGAGAAAATAACTCTAAAATGGCAAATAATTTATGTTTTAGACGTTAAGTTTGAGAAGGAGCAATTGTGAAAAGAACTTTCGGTGAGGAAGTAGCTTAGTTTAATCACCGCAGTAATTTGATATAAATTAAATGCAGTTATCAGATTGGCCACCAGAGGATGCTAGGTGTAAGCGTTTTCAATCGGCAGTTAGACTCATTCAGGACCATCACAATATCCACAAGAGAGGTTTTTGGGTTAGATCGCGTTGTGTCGTTAAACCCGCCACCATCCGACACAGCCAATTAGTAAGGGTTGTCACATTATTGGTTCTTTCCGTAAAGTCACGTAGAAGGGAAATAATACAATAATAAAAATAAAACGATACAATTCTCACGACGTTTCGATTGCAACACAAGCAATCATCATCAGATGATGCTCATATGATGATGATCATATGATGATTGCTTGTGTTGTAATCGAAACGTCGTGAGAATTTTATTGTAAAATTGTTATTATTTTATTATTTCCCTTCTACGTGACTTTACAGAAAGAACCAAGAATATGAATCCCTGCAGTCACGAAAGCTTTAAATCGAAATTGAAGGGTTGTCACGTGAACAAAACACCCCGATTCCTTACTAGTACAGCACACCGACTAAGTTGGAGAGTAAACCCACAACATTTGCAATTCGAGTTCGACGATTCGCCAGTAATTACAACCAGCATCATCAGGCGACGGCCAGATTTGTGTGGTGGCGGGTTTACCGACAAATTAATATTTTTCGATTTAAAGCTTTCGTGACTGCAGGGATTCATCTTCTTGGTTCTTTCGGTAAAGTCACGTAGAAGGGAAATAATAAAATAATAAAAAATAAAACATAATAAATTAATTCTCACGACGTTTCGGCCACAACGCAAGCAGCCGTTCTCAGGTGAAGACCAGGTCTGCTTGCGTTGTGGCCGAAACGTCGTGAGAATTATTTTATTATGTTTTATTTTTATTCTATTATTTCCCTTCTACGTGACTTTACCGAAAGAACCAAGAAAATGTATAGTTACGCGATCTAACACAAAAAGCTCCGTTATTGGTAATATTGGTCGCGAAATCCTGCGTTTTAAACTGAGGTTCGCAATAGATCAAGGCGAAGGCCTGCAGTTGCTTGCATTTGGCTTGCTCTTCCACGCTGCCTAGACATCTTGGAAGATGGTGAGAGCAGCCCGCACTTTACCCCACCCCACGTGACCCCCCGTTTCAGCTCCTGGCCGTGCAGGAAGCTCGTCCACAGCGTTGAAACTGCCGAAACTGGATGACGAGTCCACGGGTAGCAGCATATCCCTACGTTTACAATCACAGACAATTATCAGAAATAATTCCTGCGGCACAATACATGGACCTTGCCTATCAGTTGAGGCTGTGAGTGTCTCTTTCAAGGAAGACGTGGCTAAATAAGTGCATTGCAATAGCACACGTGTCCACGTGCAATGTGTATGTTATGATACTCCGAGCTAAAAATTATAATTATACGATGAACGCAAACCTGTCCAGAGTCACCCCATCCGATTCTAGGCGCTGTCCCAAAGTGGGGGGCTCTCGTTTGACCCCCCACCCCGTCCCTGGCCCCTCCCCCCTGTTGCCCTCGGCTCTTACCCCTACCCACCCCCCCACATTTATCTCCACATTTATTTATTTATCATTGACTGATTATGATTATTGATTAATATTGTTGTTGAAGGATGTATCTGTTACTCGATAACTAATATTCGGTAACTATTCATACGCCAATTAAAACACTGGCCAAAAGAAAAAAACATTACAAAATATATCATTATAGGCCCCGAGGTGTCAAGTGCACTCTCCAACTATTATTGTCTAATACCTCTCCGACCTCTCTATTTGCTCTGGAGAAATTCCATGTCCCGAAACGTCGCTAATTACATATTTTTATTGAAATACCAGAGTGTTAGTGGCCAACGTGTTTTTTTAATTCTCATTGTTCCCCATCATATTAATTTATCAAACTACCATGACCCTTCACGTCACCAAATGAAAATAACCAATGCAACTTCAACCAAATAATACGCACGCGTGCCAGTTTCATTTTACACCGTGTGCGTGTGTCCGTTCTGGTTTTCCACCTACAAGCGATGACATGAAACTCCATAACAGTGACAGTCCCCGCAGGGAGCAAGTTAAACGCGTAGATTTAAACCTCACGACAGAAACACAAATCCAAAACTGGCAAATGTGAATAAAAAAAAATCTCTCCCCATCCACTGTAATTCGGAATGCATTTGTTGGAAAATAAGTCACAAAATAATAATAAAAAACTATAAACATCTGTTGCTGGCAGGGAATGGTGGCGCAGTGGTTAGCACACTGTACCATACATCCGGTGATCTGGGTTAGATTTCCAGCAGCAGTTAACATAAGTGGCGGATGACATCTATACATGATAAAACTATTAATTTATTTTATTTTACCAGGTAAAGCTCACTGAGCTATATAGCTCTTCATCAGAAGCGACCTGGCCACAGATGATTGCTCAACGAAGCGGCTCATCGTGTGGAAATGTAAGAATATAAAAATGTATAGCAGCCAAATACTCTAAAGGCGTGTTTCTAAATGTGGAGGGAAAATCCAGAGGACCCGGAGAAAAATCCACGCGACCACGGGGAGAGCACGCAAACTCTAAATATACAGCAGGCGTCAGGGTCGGGATCGAATCCACGACCTCCCGCACACCAGGTGAGGTAGTTAGCATCTAAATCAATCCTGACCACCCCTCTTCCCCACCGTCACATTCACCAACCCACGCTGACTAGCATGGTGAGGTATGGCATGGGAAGACCATCATCCGACAGTGTACATACCAAAGGCCGCAAACTTTTATAATGATTGATTACTTTGTTTATAAGTGGGATATTTGTTTTTCTAACGAGACATCGACTGCGTATCTATTTGTCATTTATGCTCTCCACAACGATTGCACTCTAAATATATCCTGATGTGTTTGACCATTTTTGTCCAATACTCTTGTTCCGCTCAAATGTATCTTGAGCCCAAACTTTGCGCCCTTCCTTATTAGGTTCTTCAATAACTTCCTGAACCGTAATCATTAATGTGTTGTTCTAATGATCACGTCGTCAGCAACGTCTCCCAACTGTGAATATGTTCTCCGCTTTTATTTTTATTTTTCGATCTCTGTCTCTTTCTTAACACAACCCCAGTCCACGGAAACACGAGACGACAGCAAAATGGACAACTGTCGAAAACGGGTTGTTTATTTGTCATGCCATCTGCTCCGTCCTTCGAGTAATATGGAACGGTGGGTATATATTTGTTTAAACGAATGTATAAACTGAGTCCTCGTCAGAAAACAAACCCACACGCGTCGCGCGGCTTGTGGAAGGAAGCCTGCATGAATTATTGCACAAAGAAGATGTGCGAGAAGACAAAAGAGCCTTTCCATTACCCCCCCCCCCCCCCCCAGAAACAGATGATGCGTTTGTGTTCATTCTCGCAGCAATTTACGACGGTGGACTGGGCGGGGTGAATATTCAACGATAACTCATAAATTACGGACACGTGCGCGTCTCTGAATGGCTACATTACGCTTACGAGGCCATACAACTCTTGCAAATTAAAAGTATAAATCAACGTTATAGCCGGTTAACACTTATTTGTTTACCTTAAATGAACCTGTACCGATCTATCAGGGGATACAAATGCAAATGTGGACGTCATGTCGA